TACTTACAAGCAGATGAGGATGATGATGGGCTGCAGTTTGGCTCCACTGGTCTGGTGTAGAACAGGATCTCTGGAGGCTGTTTGCAACTGTGGTCACAAAATTCAATGTTCTGGGAGAATTGGAAGCAGCTCCATTTTTTTGGGGGCCCCTTACACAGCTCAAGGTCTGGGCCCCAGGGCCTGACGGTGAGTATGCCCATAAGGCCCACTTCATAAGTTCCACCACCTATGAGTTCGCCACAGGGAGTGGAGTGTAGGGATGTGTTATGTGTTATTGTAGAGGATCTAATATGTGTGCTTATGGTATGTAGTGTATAGGGTTACCAGTTTGTGCAGGTGATGTAGTGTGTTTGTGTGTAGTGGAAGCAGTGTGTATTTGAGTATAAGGGATGTATTATGTGTTTCTGGCTGTGTGTAAGGGATGCATTGTGTGAATCTGTGTTTGTATGCATAAGGGTTGCAAGGTGTGTGTCTGTATGTGTGTGCATTGAGTGTAAGAGATGCATTGTGTTTCTGTGTTTCTTATTCCCCCTCTCCCTCTTCTTACTCCCCCCTCTTCTTCTTTTTACTCCCCCCTCTTTTTCTTACTCCCCCCCTTCTTCTTACTCCCTCCTCTTCTTCTTACTCCCTCCTCTTCTTCATCTTACTGCCCCATCTTTTTCTTACTCACCCCTTCTTCTTCTTACCCCCCTCTTTTTCTTATCTCCCCTCCTTCTTACTCCCCCTCCCCTCTTCTTAACAGAGCGCTCAGGCGGCTGCAGTATTTAAAGGGCCGGCCCGCCGCGGCCGGCCTTACAGGAATTTAGGGCGGCCTGGGGGGCAATTGCCTCCCTGCCCCCCGGCCCAGCCCGCCCCTGCTTGTCACAGTGTGTTTAGTAACATTCACATTGAATAAAAATAACACGGAGAAAGAATTCCTGGGTGCACTCCATAATCAAATCTCCTCAGGGGCGGACTGAGAGCCTTTGGATCCCAGGCCCTTTGAAGGCCAAATATATGTGCACAAAGTGATTTTCCTGACACTATAGTGCCCTAAGGGTGCCCCCAGCCTCAGGTCCCCATCCCGTGGCGCTGAAGGGGTTAAAACCCATTCAGCAGCTTACCTTTATCCAGCACCGGGCTCCCTCCACGCTGGTGACCTCTCCTCTCCCGCCGACGTCAGCTCCCGAGTGGAGCAGAATGCGCATGCACGGCAAGTGCCGCGCGCGCATTCAAACAGCCCATAGGAAAGCATTTTTAAATGCAGAGTGACAGAGGGAGGGTGTGACTAGTGATAGAGGGAGGGAAGGGGTGACTAGGGACAGAGGGAGGGAAGGGATGACTAGTGACAGAGGGAGGGTGACTAGTGACAGAGTGAGGGGGTGACTAGTGACAGAGTGAGGGGGTGACTAGTGACAGAGTGAGGTAGGGAAGGGGTGACTAGTGACAGATTGAGGGAGGGAGGGGGTCACTAGTGACAGAGTGAGGGAGTGGGTGACTGTCACTAGTCACCCCCTCCCTCACGCTGTCCCTAGTCACCCCTTCCCTCCCTCTGTCCCTAGTCACCCCTTCCCTCCCTCTATCACTAGTCACACCCTCCCTCTGTCACTAGTCATCCCTTCCCTCTGTCACTAGTCACCCTCCCTCTGTCACTAGTCATCCCTTCCCTCCCTCTGTCCCTAGTCACCCCTTCCCTCCCTCTATCACTAGTCACACCCTCCCTCTGTCACTAGTTATCCCTTCCCTCTGTCACTAGTCACCCTCCCTCTGTCACTAGTCATCCCTTCCTTCACTCTGTCACTAGTCGCCACTTCCCTCTGTCACTAGTCGCCACCTCCCTCACTCTGTCACTAGAGTGAGGGGGTGACTAGTGACAGAGTGAGGGAGGGAAGGGGTGACTAGTGACAGAGTAAGGGGGTGACTAGTGACAGAGTGAGGGGGTGACTAGTGACAGAGTGAGGGAGGGAAGGGGTGACTAGTGACAGAGTGAGGGGGTGACTAGTGACAGAGGGAGGGGGTGACTAGTGACAGAGGGAAGGGATGACTAGTGACAGAGGGAAGGGGTGACTAGTGACAGAGTGAGGGGGTGACTAGTGACAGAGGGAGGGGGACTAGTGACAGAGGGAAGGGATGACTAGTGACAGAGGGAGGGTGACTAGTATTGACACAGTAGAGGGGGTGACTAGTAGTGACACAGTGGCCGGGAGAAGCAGTGGCAGGAGGGTAGGCGTGACAGAGCAGGGAGGAGGACTAGTGACCCAGAGGGAGAGGGGTGACTAGTGACACAGTGAGGCGACACACAGTGACAGAGTGACAGAGCTGACACAGTGAGGAGGGTGACACAGTGACAGAGTGAGGGAGGATGACAGAGTGACAGAGGGAGGGGTGACTAGTGACAGAGGGGGGTGACACAGTGACACAGTGAGGAGGGGGTGACACAGTGACAGAGTGAGGGAGGGGATGACAGAGTGACAGAGGGAGGGGTGACTAGGGACAGAGGGGGGTGACACAGTGACACAGTGAGGGAGGGGGTGACACAGTGACAGAGTGAGGGAGGGGGTGACAGAGTGACAGAGGGACTCCCCATCTTCCCCTTATCTCCTACCTCTCTCTCTGCTCTCTCCCAGGCTGCTGCTCCTTCCCCTGCTGGCTGATTGGGCTCTGTGCGTGAGAGGAGTAAACAGGAAGTGATGTCACTTTCTAGCCCCGCCTCCCCCATCACACAGAGCCGCGTGGGGGACAGGAAGCAGGAGACCTGGCAGAGAGGAGGTGAAGCTGCCAGGTCTCATTCAGTGGGAGGGAGGAGGGGGGTAATATGCTGAGCGGTAGGTTGCTGGGGCCCTACGCTCCATCAGGGGCCCCAGCATCCTAATATTGTAAAAGATTTTTTTTTTAACCCCTTAAGGACACATGACATGTTTGACATGTCATGATTCCCTTTTATTCCAGAAGTTTGGTCCTTAAGGGGTTAATGTTGCGGTTCCAGTTGATCTCTGATCTCTCCAGCTGGAGCGTGGCTGTGCGGTCGGGCCCCAAGCTGTCTCGGGCCCTCGGTCCATGACCGATGTGCCCGAGTGGTCAGTCCGCCCCTGTCTATCACCGATGTGCCCGAGTGGTCAGTCCGCCCCTGTCTATCACCGATGTGCCCGAGTGGTCAGTCCGCCCCTGTCTATCACCGATGTGCCCGAGTGGTCAGTCCGCCCCTGTCCATCACCGATGTGCCCGAGTGGTCAGTCCGCCCCTGTCCATGACCGATGTGCCCGAGTGGTCAGTCCGCCCCTGTCCATGTCCGATGTGCCCGAGTGGTCAGTCCGCCCCTGTCCATGTCCGATTTGCCCGAGTGGTCAGTCCGCCCCTGTCCATGTCCGATATGCCCGAGTGGTCAGTCCGCCCCTGTCCATGTCCGATGTGCCCGAGTGGTCAGTCCGCCCCTGTCCATTACCGATGTGCCCGAGTGGTCAGTCCGCCCCTGTCCATGTCCGATATGCCCGAGTGGTCAGTCCGCCCCTGTCCATGTCCGATATGCCCGATTGGTCAGTCCGCCTCTGTCCATGACAGATGTGCCCGAGTGGTCAGTCCGCCTCTGTCCATGTCCGATGTGCCTGAGTGGTCAGTCCACCCCTGTCCATTACCGATATGCCCGAGTGGTCAGTCCGCCCCTGTCCATGACTGATGTGCCCGAGTGGTCAGTCCGCCCCTGTCCATGACCGATGTGCCTGAGTGGTCAGTCCACCCCTGTCCATGACCGATGTACCCGAGTGGTCAGTCCACCCCTGTCCATGACCGATGTAACCGAGTGGTCAGTCCACCCCTGTCCATGACCGATGTGCCCGAGTGGTCAGTCCGCCCCTGCTCCTGCTCAAACCTGTGCTGACAAACAACATTTGGGATGTATGGTACCCAATGAAACGGTTATAGGTATTGTACAAGGCTTTCCAGTTAGGACACAAAGAAACTAGTTTGTGCGACATACCTGACCGTGCGATATATCTAACTGTGTGAAATACCCGATTGTGAGACAAACCTGGCCTTGTTATACAGTATGCATGATCCTGCTCTAAGATTACTGGAAAGACTCCCAGACTATGAAACACGTAGCAGACAGCATCATGGCCATTTCGTGAATGGTGTAAATTCCTAATGCAAAAGGATAAAGGTCATCTTTAATCTCATACAGTGGTTCACAACCTTTTTTTCACTTGGGCACCCATTGGCCGTCCATTTCCATAAATTGTACCCCTCATATAAGTAAAATGTTTCTTATTAATATAGTTGCTGTTGCTATTGATAATATACACTATAATAATATATATAATCTTCACGTCTGTCTCAATATATTTATTATATGAAGGAAAGCTCAGAGCATGAACTCTGTCAAGGGACCCAGCACTAAAGTCAATTGTGATTTATTTAGTCCTGTTTCCTGTTTGTCAACGTCCTTGCGTGTGAATGAAGACACTGATTTCAGAAGCTCCATTTCATGTATTGTGAAAAGCTAATGGTAAGAAATAACGGCATAGCTGTCAGTTAATTAATTAGCAGGTAGTGAGTGCTTCTATTGCTTCACCTGAGCTATACAGTGATAACCAGCAGCTGACAGCAAAGCAATCATGCTGCTATAAGAAGGGGAAAGGGAGGACCATCTATTAGTAGATTCTGGTATCTTCAGAGACCTGACAAGGGTCTTCCAACTCGTACTAGGTAGGTGATCTAAAGAGTATTCTTTATCACCCGATCCCCCTTAGAGTATTTTTTTTTTAATGTGTGAATTAAATCTCAATGGGCATACTGAGGCAAAAACTCAACCATAGTCCAAACGTGGCCATGCTTCACTTGGATCTGGATGTAATGTGTGAAAACTTTAGTTTAGTGCATAACACTGAATGTTTTGGCCTCTCTTGATGAAACCTGTCAGTGCTGTTGTCAATGGAAAATTAGATTAGACTAGCTATAATGTCTAATGTGACCTGAAGGCAGCTGCCTATGATACAGGGGTTGGAAAAGGCCCAGGCGCTGTGAAGATGCTGGGGAAGCCCACTCATTATCTCTATAACAAGCGTGCCCAGTATGGTAACATGTCATGGCATCTATGCAATACTACTGTTAATCACTTTATTTTAGTGGTTGGGTTGGGGAGGTTAAATGTAAACTACCATTCCTATTCTGGACCTTATCTGCAGTGATGTTTAATGGCTTTACTGGTTTCCAAAGAGATGACCAGGAATATCAAGCCATAGCTTATCACTTTCAGGGTTAATAAATAACCCTGCATGTCTAGATACCTTACATTGGTCTGTGGTCAGGATAAAGGATTCTTTAATGATTAACATCCTTTCAGACCTGTATGTAGGATGTGAATGCTACATACAAGGGAGAATAACTTTTTTTTTTTTTAATGATTCCTGTTAATGGATGAAGGTATGGGGGGAGCAGTATCCAAGCTGGGGGAAGAAGATGAGTGAGATCGCCTAGGCCTGTCTGCCGTTAGGGGCTTACAATTCTGTATATTGAATCTGTTTAGTACCCTCTATATCTCATTCAGCAACGCAGAAGAGGGTAACACAAATACAATCAACATGTAGGGAAAACAAAAATGTAGCTCCAAAGGCTAGCTGTCAAGATCCAATACCTGGGTTTGCCAGGGCACTTGTATTGATGGTGTGCAGCACATGAAGAGTTCTGCCCTGCAGTATGTTGACTTCTGCAGGAATGAAGCAAAGAAAATCAAAAGTATTGAGTTAAGAAATTTCCTTTCTGTTAATAAATCTGCAATACGCCTAAATCACTTTTACTAATGTGTGGCTTTTTTCTTTTTAGAACTGGATATCCGGGTTGGTATTGACTGTACGTACCTAGATGGGGCATCTAATCAGACTAGCTGTTGTGTGCTGCCTTGCTTTGCAAGTCTATGGGACAGGTAAGGTACACCTTATGCAGTCTGGGGGAAATGGAAAAACCAGAGCCAGCTATTATTCTCCACTACCTGCAGACAGAGGTTCTAGAAGTTCTTCCTTCTTTTTGAAAAGAGAACCTCTGTGGGAAAGATCCTAGGATTCTTTAGTTCTTTCTTGTACACATTCCATGTATACACTAATAGAATTTTCAACATGTTACACTATATGTAATGGCATATGAAAAAAAAAATATATATTTATTAATTTCTTTTTATTTGTTATATACTGACTGTTTCCTCAATACCAGTAAGAAATCATATGCAATGCAGTTAGAAGCAAATAACATTGTTTTATCCTGAATTCTGTCTTCTACATAATTATTGCTCAATACATCCTACACCTATTCCAATGCTGATATGCCTCTGAGTGTTGTATTTAGTATCTCATTTTCTTGACTTCTGTTTCCAATACCTTCAGGTCATAATAATTCTAGACCATTGGTGGATACAAAATATGGGAAACTTCTGGGGAAAACCAACAGTGTGAAAGCAACAGATCGACAAGTACATGTATTCCTTGGAATTCCATTTGCAAAACCTCCGGTTGGAGAGCTAAGATTTGCTCCTCCACAATCTCCAGAACCTTGGAGTGACATCCGAGATGCATCCCAACGTCCACCCATGTATATCTCCTCAATGTATTGAGTTCTGGGTAACTTGTTTGTAGAGCAAATATAACTTGCTATCTTCCCTGCCCTAGGTGTATACAGAGTATGGCATCACTTGACGACCTAAAAAAATACTTCCTTGGGGATTTTCCTCCACCCCGTCTCTCAGAGGACTGCTTGATACTTAATATCTACACCCCAGCAGACAGGGTGCAGAATTCACTTCTTACAGTAAGTACTAATGGTGTGGTCAATAAAGTTCAACCTTCCCCTTAGTCATAGCTGCTGATACAGTTCTCAATCTTGCATTGGCTTCCCTTATCCCACCAGCACATGCTAATATCTCCAGTTGTACTAATGTCTTCATTGACTCCAATTTACATAAATCTCTCTACAACTTTAATTGAAATTAAACTGATCAGGCAATGTATAGTTCTAGGAATGTGCCTTTAAGAAGCCTCGATATTATTTTGGCATATTACTCTGGTACTGCCCTCCTCATGCTTCTTTATGCTTTTATCAAGGTTATGGTCTTCATACATGGAGGAGCTTTCATAATTGGAGGAGCGAACATGTTTGATGGCTCTGCATTAAGTGCCTATGAAAACATTGTAGTTGTGTCAATCCAATACAGACTGGGAATCCTGGGATTCTTTAGGTAACCAGTTTTCTTATCCATGTAAGGAATGTTGTCACAGAAGCCCAATACTGGGGTTTCACTGCAGTGTTGGGATGGGACCCTGTTCTCTGTAACTTTCAAAACCAAACATTTAGATGGAGGGATCAGGGAATGCTAATATTATAATGTTACACACCCTAAACCATATAACTAGGGTATATCTCAATATGATACATCTTCATTCAGTACGGGGAAAAAAGAAGCGCCTGGGAACTATGGCTACCTGGATCAAGTCGCAGCTCTTCAGTGGGTTCAAGAAAACATAAAGGATTTTGGAGGGGACCCACTTTCTGTCACCTTATTTGGAGAGTCAGCGGGTGCTGTGAGTGTTGCTGCTCAGGTGAGTTTCACCTTCACTTAACATAGGCAGTGTTATCAATCTGATAGCTTCTCAGTGTCAGTAACTCCTCTCCACTGTGATATTTCTAGGTGGTGTCTCCCTTATCAAAGGGCTTGTTCCACAGAGCCATCACTGAAAGTGGGACAGCAATGATGCCTGCTGTCTTTGCCAAAAATCAAAAAGAGCTGCTCATCTTCCAACTGGTGAATATCCATTCCTGGATAGTGTAGCGTCCTCCTTAACCTTTCCCAATGCCCCTTTCAGAGTAGTAAGAAGTTCTGTGTGGAGTATTTTGTGGTTCCCCCACACCTTGAGATCCTAACTGGCAGGGTTACAAACTTCTTCACTAGAAGTCCCACTAAGGTTCCTTAAACCCCTGGATGCCAGCATTGTAATGGCAGCTCCTGCTCAACATGCTTATATAGAGCCCCACAAATGCATGACCGTGTCTGCTTAATGAGCTGTTGCACAAGGTCTACAAGAGACCCTGTGGCCAAATCACTGACTGCTCCACTATGGTACATTCCATGCCACATACATAATGTGCGCCAACTTTGAGCATTTGGATTTAAAACCGGCTTAAATATCATAGAATTGAGCAGAATATTTAAAATGATGTCCTAGAGTCAAATAACTGGCATTGTGATGTTTTGACCTACTCTGGTCATAACACTTTACATGACTGTGGGTTTTATTCTATTTAGTTGGTGGCCAAGGCATCTGGCTGTCATCTGGTACCCATCGTGTCTTGTCTGAAGAAGAAAACTGCAGAAGAATTACTTGAAATTTCCAACGCTATGGTATGACTGAAATGGTACCAAGATATAGTGATATACCATAGAGATCCAAAGTCTGTTTTAATGGCACCCTAACACATGTCCTCTAGCTTAAAAATTGCAACACAATCCCGAATCTCCTCCTTTCTTCACAGGACTTTATACCTTTACCTGCCCGTGTGGATGGGGTCCTTTTTCCTAAACTTCCGGAAGAGCTTTGGGCCTGTAAGGAGGTTAATGATGTCGCCTTAATGACTGGTGTAAATTAAAATGCATTTGGCTGGCTTCTTCCAATGGTAAATGCTGTAGATAATTTATAAAGCACCAGCAAGTTCCATAGCGCTGTACAATGGGTGGACTAACAGACATGTAATTGTAAATTGTAAACAGACTCAATGAGCTTACATGCTAGAGGAAGTGGGGTATAGTGAACCCAGTGAGACTGTGTATGGCACATGACAATTTCTCATTGGATATGAAAGCTGGCGATCTTGCTCACTGTTCTTGACAGTCTCTGAGCAGGTTGTACTGCAACAATTTTGAGATTAAAAGGTGTAAAGAGAACTGGTTTACTAGAGGGGTGGCCTGTACATCTCTAGCTTCCTATCATGCTAGAACAGATGGCTAGATCTTAAAGCTGTTGTCATCTGCATTCTCTTGTATCCTTGCAGAGCTAGTTCTCTCCATCCCAATGGGTTTACATGATACTAGCAATGTTGAATGGCAATAATAAAGTAAAAGGTGTATGACAATAGATATAAAAAAGTTCAAAATGAAGTATGGTGCTACAATCGCCTCATGTTGGTCACCCAACTACAAAAAAAATAGTGTATCATCATTGTGAGGCAAGTGCCTGGTATAAGTGTATGTAGGAAAGACTGCTCTAGGGACCATGTACAACAAACTGTCTACTCCATTTTTTTTTTCCTGACCAGTCTTTCCATCTTGGTGAATTGTTGAACGGCATGGATCGATTAACTGTCCAATTATATCTAAACATTCTTCCTAATTCGGTAAGAGGACCACCATCTTAATGTTTTTGTTTTTGTTTTGTGTCTGTGTGTAATGTTGAGTCTTCTCATCAATGTAGATGATCCCAAAAGCTGCTGTTCCTCTAATAATGGAAGAATATATCGGTAATGCAACTGACCCACTCGAGATTCGTGACAGATTTCTGGAATTATGTGGTGACTTTGTGTTTGTTATACCATCTCTCCAGGTTGCACAGTATCACAGAGGTATATGACACAAACTAGGGTCTGTCCTAAAGCGAACAATGAAACGTCTCCATAATGTGTTTAATTTGTTTAATTTTTTTGGTGCTGCTGACCTAGAGCATCAAGCTGGCACTAAAATTACTCACCCCAATATACAGAGACTAAAAAAAATCTACATTTTTATTCCTAGATTCTGGCCACACAGTCTTTCTCTACCAGTTCCTGCATCGTCCCTCAATGTATCAGAACACAAAACCAGATTTTGTTAAAGCGGATCATGGAGATGAGCTTCCTTCTGTGATGGGTTCTCCTTTCCTGATAAGCCCAGACTTTTTTAGGGGTAAGGTATTCCATTCATAGGTCAGTGTGACTAGGCAGCTGGTGGCTTGCTCTGGAAACTGATACTGATCGTCTGTTTCTCCAGAAAACTATCCAGGCTCTCTCAACCTACTGCTATCACCAGACTATTCTGATGTTAATGCTTATCTTTTGACACTAAAGCCACTAGAATCTGTTTTCTTTGCTAGGCCCTGTTACCTATGAAGAAACCATACTAAGCAGAACAATGATGCGGTATTGGGCCAACTTTGCTCGAACTGGGTAAGGCTATGAACTTTCTATTTACTTACTGTAATGAATCCTGTTCTTGGATGGTTGTTGTCAGTGGACTACTTGCCCACTTAAATACTGTTAATTTCCCCCTTCACTTGGCAAACCAGTGTCTAAACATGATTTTAAGCTCTAATCTGTAAATTGAAATTGATCAAAGTGCAGGGTATAACATGCAGTCTAGGGCAGCAATTAAAATTACCACAATGATTCATCTTCACTTAATTGACTCAAAGATTCACTTGATCTGACACTTGGGATTTATTTTTTATTTTAATTTTTTTTTATTTCTCTACTTTCTCTACTGCAGTGATCCCAATGGACCAGGTCTTTCAGAGTGGCCAGAATATGATCTAGAAGAGTATTATCTAGAGATCAATATGAAACAAAAAGTAAATAAAAAGTTAAAGGAAAACAGACTTGAATTCTGGAGAGAGATTCTAGCAGTCCAAACTTGGAGTGTGGCGGAGACAGAATACCCAGAGCTGTAGATTGAGAAATAAAGACTTCTTAAAAATTACTTTTTTGGTTGGCGTTTCTCTTCCCTTTCTCCCCTCTGGTTTATGGTCTTGTTTAGGACTTAAAGGTAATGCTATCCATAGAAAACGTTAACATTGCTAAACTCCCCCTCCGCAGTATCACTGTAGTTTGCAGTGATAGCAGCCAAAGGGCTATTTTGGCAAGTTCATGCTAAACTTGCCTTATTGAGTTTTAAACCATTTTGTTACAGACAGCTACACTTTCTAAGTGGCTTTCAGCTCTACTGAATTATTTATATATATAAATATAATTATTTTTTTAACTTTGCTGGTCAAAGGTTTACAGGATAATTCAAAATGTGACAGTGTATACTAAAAGGGAGCTGTTTTGTCTGAAAGCATGGACTCTGTCACAAGTGTTCATTGTAACACTTTATTATCCAAAAGCCAGTGTTCAGAAATGGGGAAACGCATGAGCAGATAAGGTTAAAGGGGTGCTATATATGGGGGGGTGGCACATAATTGAATTGGTCTTTTTCAATCAGACCCATTGCCACAGGTGTATAAAATCTAGTATCTAGCCATTCAGTCTGTCTACAAACCTTTTGGGAGAGGGTCATTCTGAGGAGCTTGGTGAATTTTAGCCGTTGCAATAATTACGTTTGTGAAGCTTAATTCCTGTAAATATTCAACACTAAGTAGTATTGGGCAGTGGAAGCGTTTAGAAACCGCAGAAACTCTGCAAGGAAGACTAAAGTCAGAGTGCTGAGGCGACGTGGTGCATAAAAGTTGCCAACACTTAAACTCTTCAGTGATGGAATTGTCAACATCTGCTGGCATCAATATGAACACAAACTGTGCGGTGGAAGATTCATGGAATGGCTTTACATGGCCAAGTGGCTGCATGCAAGCTTCACATTACAATTGCCAAGTGGTCTATAGCATGCCACCACTCTAGTCTGCAGTGGAAATGTGTTGTGTGGATCAACAAATCATGCTTCTGTTTGGTGGATGCCAGGAGCATGTTACCTGACTGCAATATACCAACTGTAAACTTTTGGAAGGATAATCGATTGGGGCTGTACTTCAAAGGTTGTAATAGCCCCTGACTTCCAGTGAAGGAAAATTTTAATGCTTCAGCATACCAAAAAACATTTTGGACAATGCTGTGATTCCAACAGGATAGGAAGAAGAGAATTTGTAAATCAAGAGTAATTTATTCCCCGTCATCCACCAGAGGGAGCAAGAAATCTAAAGCTGCAGGAAAAAGTAAGAAGAATTCACGTCAGGTTGCTGAAATGGAGCAAGTACCGGTGATTGAAGTTGGTGAACAAGCTGGCACCTCACATACTGCACCTTCTGATGGGACGGACAATTCGACTGGTGAGATAAACTCTGAGGTTTCTCTTGAAGCCAAGCTGGGAGAGGCCCTGGGGTTTTTATTTCAGGCTATTCAATGTAAAGCTGGTAGTATGGCTAGGTTCCAAGATAGTTTGAATTTGTCAAATTACCTGCACCGGTTAGTTTGGTTAATCGTTCTGACAAGAGCAGTACGCCTGTTAATGAGTCTTGTTTGAAGGAAGCATTGGCGTGCGAAGCTTCACCTCTTGGTTTTCATTTATCTAACTGCATTAAAGAAACAATATGGAATGATGAATATATCTATATTCTTTCTTTATTGCCAGCCTCTAAGGAATTTTTGTTAAGGCAAGAAAGAGATGAGGACAGGAAACTGCCGGTACCCCGTTCCTTTAATAATTGGCTTCAGGCGTTTTCTATTTTTGCTAGTGTGTATTGTGAACGTCATCCAGATAAAGCTAGTGGTCTTTTTCATCATCTAGAAGCTATATTAGAGACTTTCAAAAATTTTGGTGGATTGGCTTGCTTCAACTATGACAAAATATTTTGTCAGAAATTATCAGTGCATAAGAATTTGAAATGGGGTATGAAGGATGTTAGTTCTTGGGTAAGTATTATGCTACCAAGCAGGATTCCTCAGAATCCATATAGACCACAGACTCAGGCGAGTGGGTTGAAAATACGCCCCAAAGGTGTTTGTTGGTCTTTTAATGAGTCGTAGTGTAAATGGCTGAATTCTTGCAGGTTCAGACATGAATGCATTAATTGTGCGGGGAGTCATCCGTCCTTTCTCTGCTTTAAGAGGCAGGGTGCTACCGCTAGGGAGCAGATTTCAAAGAGCATGGATCCCAGTGAAAGTACAAAATCTGCTCCCTTATTTAAAATGCTATCCAACCCAGCAGATAGAACAGCTAATTAAAGAAGGTTTTTTTTTTTTATTTTTTTTTAGAATTCCTGTTTGTAGTTCAGCAGTTCAGTTTGTTGGAAATCTTAGTTCAGTCAAGTTGAATACTAGTATAGATACAGATAAGATTGATAGAGAAATAACTTTAAGGAGAGTGGAAGGCCCATTTTCAGTTCCGCCTTCTTTATATTTTAGGGTGTCTCCACTTGGTTTAGTTCCCAAGAAGGAGAGAGGTACCTATAGACTAATTCACCATCTGTCTTACCCGAAGGGTACATCGTTGAATGATGAGATGGATACCTCCATTATTTCTGTGTCTTACACAGAAGAGTAATGCCAAAGGCTCAGGCTTTTTCTAGACATATGTCAAGAGCTATAGCTGGTTTTAAAAATCTGAATCACCATGTTAGAATTTCTAGACAGATTAAAGAAGAATTACATGTATGGAATGTTTTTTTATGCAACTTTAATGGTTCCACGATTTGGCAAAGTGATTTTGTATCCAATTGGGATTTGGATATTTTCACGGATGCAGCTGGTTCTCACGGCTTTGGTTTATACTTTCATGGTAGATGGGCAGCAGCTGGTTGGCCCCAGTCATGGGTTGAGAATGGCTGGACAAGATAGTCGTAGCCCTGGAGGTTTGGGGCTCTGAATTAGCAAACAGTAGGATTACTTTTCATTGTGACAATCTAGGGGTTGTTTGCGTAATCAATTCTCTTAGGGCAAAATGTAACCTGGTGATCAATTTATTGAGGCAATTGGTTTTTATTTGTTTGGTAATTAATATATGGGTAAAACGAAGCATGTAGGTGGGAAAAGTAATTGTATAGCTGATTCTTTGTCCCGTTTTGACTTCAAGTCTTTCAGACCCCTTGCACCTCTAGTGGACGAAGTTGGAACGAGGCTGCCAGAATTACTGAGTTTATCGTTATCTGCAACCACTTTGGAAGCATACTTGAAGGCGTGGGAAAAGTGGCAGCATTTTATGATTAATTTAAATAGAGACACTACTGATCCCACTATACAGTATGCAATTCAATATGTTATTACTAAAATTCAGGCTGGTGTATCCAAGTTTTCATTTAAAAGAGCCCTTTTGGGCATTTCTTTTTTCCTTAAAGTATCGGGGGAAAAGTCTGTTTTTAAAGAATTTGTCATTCAGTAAATGTTAAAAGGGGCAGGGTTAAAGAAAGCACCAGTCCCAGGTGACAGGTTCCCTATCTCTTTTCAATTATTGGGTGATTTGGTAAATAATTTGAGCTACGTTTGTAGAGATACATTTGAGACCCAACTTTTTACCACTGCTTTTATTTTAGCATTTTTTGGAGCTTTTAGAATCAGCGAACTAGTTTCTGCTAACAAGTCTTGCCATTCGGGCATCCAGTTTAAGGACATCCATTTACAAGATGGGTTTTTAAAAATGTTATTAAGAAGATTAAAAACTGACCAGCAAGGGAAAGGTCAGTGGGTTCAGTTACATCATCATCAACTGTAGAGCTGTTTTTCCACGCCCTCCCTCCCTATAGTTCAATTGTCGTCGTCTATAATTGGGGTTGAGGTCACCTGCCTAATTTAAAGGGGGTAGGGGGAGCGTGGACAAGCTGAGTTTCGTTATCATTTTGTTTAGGTTCTGGCTAATAGGGCGGAACTCTTGTGAGTTATGTGTTAGATCAATGTAAAAATATTTGACCCTATAACTTTCAAAAACGCTATAAAACCTGTACATGGGGTACTGTTATACTCAGGAGACTTTGCTGAACACAAATATTAGTGTTTCAAAACAGTAAAATGTATTACAACAATGATAGCATCAGTGAAAGTGCCGTTTGTGTGTGAAAAATGCAAAAAAAGTCACTTTCACTGACGATATCATCGTTGTAATACGTTTTACTGTTTTGAAACACTAATATTTGTGTTCAGCGAAGTCTCCCGAGTAAAACAGTACCCCAAAACAGTACCCCCCATGTACAGGCTTTAGGGTGTTGTATAAAGTTACAGGGTTAAATACAGTGCTAGCAAATTAAATTCTCTGGACCTTTGGCCTGGGTTGTCAGGCAGGTCCCTCAAATTGCAATCAATAAAATGACTTAATTATGTAAAAATATTACATAAATACGCACAGAGAATTTAAATATACATACATGTTTATATATTTGAAGTCTATGTGTATATTTATGAAATTATTTATGTAATTTTGTATATGGATATATATATTTTTCGTATTTAGATTTATTTATATATACATAGATGTATATATAATTTCATTCTAAGTGTATTTTGATATAAATATATATATATATTAATATCAAAATACAGTTAGAATAAAATTTCATATAGATATATTTTTATTTTCAATTTTTATTATTTTTAAGTTTTTAAATTTATTTTAATTTACTTATTTGAATTTTAATAAGACCGCAGATGTTTGGTTCCGAATTACATGTTTTAAAGTAAATACATTACGTTAGCATAATTTGTAAACTAAATAAAAGACCACAGCCTTTTCAGCACACATCTGAGTCTGTGTTTCATTATTATGTTTCTGTGCCTTATTATTTAATGTATTACTTGCTGTTATTATGTATCAGTCTGAATTAACCCCTGCTAAGCACATGTGCTCACTGCACATGGTCTAAGTACATATTCAGTGTAATGGCTCAGGATGACAAAATGCTCGTTGTAAAATTTGAAATAAGACAATCTATCATTTCACTTACCAGGATCCCATATATACATGTCCTATGTTTATAAGACAGGGGTAGCAGAGAGGGTAAATACAGCCCTGGCTTGGAGTTTTATTTAAATGAACTGCTTTACTAAAGAAGTTTATAAACAATATGGCCCTGTAAGGCTGAGGGAATTATAATGATATGAAAATATCTGTATGTGAGTTGTATGTATGTGGTGGGAGTTGTAGGCTGTGTGACTGAAGGGCTGTAGGTGAGTGATAGCTGCATATTTATGTGTGTGATGGGAGTTGTAGGTGTGTGTAAAAGCTGTATATTAATGTGGGGTGTTAGTGATGGGAGTTGTAGGTGTGTGATAGCTGTATATTAATGTGGGCTGTGAGTGAAAGGAGTTGTAAGTACTTGTGATCAGGCCCGGACTAGCTATCGAGCAAACTAAACAAATGCTTGGTGGGCTGTGTTGGCCATGGGCTGAGGCCGGCAGGGGAGAGCCTTTCATCTCCCCTGCCAGCCCATGCAGAGCCAGCCTTGCTGTGGGCCCTCTCAAAGATCTCCCTCACAGGCCTCCTGACACTTAGCTCCAACCACGGCAACGCTCCCACACAGCACACAGTGCTTGCGAGAGGGGAAGAGAGTCAGCCTGAAGCTACTAGATTCCAGGCTAAAAAGCCACCACTGGACCACCAGGGCTTGCAGCATTATGTTCCCCCTCACTGGATAAAGGTAAGAAGGATGGGGGGATATAAAGTTTTTTTGTTTTTTAAACAAAAATAATTTAAAAATATATATATTATCTAACATCTCCCACCATACAACCCGTAAACACACAGCACCCCTCCACACACAGCACCCCTAGACACACACTTTCTACAACCCCTACACATGCTACGTCACCTATACACACATACACTGCAGTGCCTGTGCACCCAGTAACTGCAAATGCTATACACACACTATGCCCACATACACACACTAAGTCTCCTATACAAACACTCACTACAGCCCTGAGGCAGACATGTAATACCACAATCAAAACACAACTGAAATTAAAACACAAAAAGACAACACCATAATCCATTCACTTGACACACGCAATCCCTCAAGAACCCTTCAAACACTCGTACACTTACAGTACTCTTTCCTAGCCCTTTTGTCCTCTGGAAGCCCACTTAAGCAGTCACCAGAGGCAAGTTACAAGTAGATTCGCTTGTGCTGCGCAGGGCCTTTTTCTCATGGGAGGGCTCTTTAACAGGGCTCTGCGCATGGGGGCTCTGGAAGTGCATTGTACCAATACATAGTTTGTCGATGCCCCTGGGACACTGTGATTAAAAAAATGCCCTGTCCAAATTTTCCCCTTGTGATAATGTAGCAGTAATTGTTGAGGATGTATGTGTTCTGTTTCTTTACATTTGGCCGTGTTTGCACTTTGTATTGGGTCAGTAGTACAGTATTTGCCCACATATAGTCATAGAAGCTTGTATTGTGTAAAAGGGCACTTCCTACCATCCAACCCCATGCCTTGACTTTGGTGCCTGATAGTATTCTGAGATATAAACAAGGCTGGGCTTGTATGTGATAGCTGTATCTTGGTGGGCTCTGAGTGGTAGGAGTTGTAGGTGATAGCTGTATATTGATGTGAACTGTAAGTGATAGGAGTTGTAGGTTATAGCTGTATATTGGTGGGCTCTGAGTGATAGTTGTAGGTTATAGCTGTATATTGATGTAAGCTGTGAGTGATAGGAGTTGTAGGTGATAGCTGTATATTGATGTGAGCTGTGAGTGATATGAGTTGTAGGTTATAGCTGCATATTGATGTGAGTGATAGGAGTTGTAGGTTATAGCTGTATATTGATGTGGGCTGTGAGTGATAGGAGTTGTAGGTGATAGCTGTATATTGATGTGAGCTGTGAGTGATAGGAGTTGTAGGTTATAGCTGTATATTGATGTGAGTGATAGGAGTTGTAGGTGATAGCTGTATATTGATGTGAGCTGTGAGTGATAGGAGTTGTAGGTGATAGCTGTATATTGATGTGGGCTGTAAGCGATAGGAGTTGTAGGTAATAGCTGTATATTGATGTGAGCTGTGAGTGATAGGAGTTGTAGGTTATAGCTGTATATTGATGTGAGTGATAGGAGTTGTAGGTGATAGCTGTATATTGATGTGAGTGATAGGAGTTGTAGGTGATAGCTGTATATTGATGTGAGCTGTGAGTGATAGGAGTTGTAGGTGATAGCTGTATATTGATGTGGGCCGTAAGCGATAGGAGTTGTAGGTAATAGCTGTATATTGATGTGAGCTGTGAGTGATAGGAGTTGTAGGTTATAGCTGTATATTGATGTGAGTGATAGGAGTTGTAGGTGATAGCTGTATATTGATGTGAGCTGTGAGTGATAGGAGTTGTAGGTGATAGCTGTATATTGATGTGGGCCGTAAGCAATAGGAGTTGTAGGTAATAGCTGTATATTGATGTAAGCTGTGAGTGATAGGAGTTGTAGGTGATAGCTGTATATTGGTGGGCTCTGAGTGATAGGCGTTGTAGGTGATGGTTGTATATTGATGTGAGCTGTGAGTGATAGGAGTTGTAGCTTATAGCTGTATATTGATGTGAGCTGTGAGTGATAATTTTAGGTGATATCTGTATATCGATGTGAGCTGTGAGTGATTGGAGTTGTAGATGATAGCTGTATATCGATGTGAGCTGGGAGTGATAGGAGTTGTAGGTGATATCTGTATATTGATGTGGGCTGTAAGCGATAGGAGTTGTAGGTGATAGCTGTATATCGATGTGGGCTGTGAGTCATAGGAGTTAAAGGTTATAGCTGTATATCGATGTGAGTGATAGGAGTTGTAGGTGATAGCTGTATATCGATGTGAGCTGTGAGTGATAGGAGTTGTAGGTGATAGCTGTATATTGATGTGAGCTGTGAGTGATATGAGTTGTAGGTTATAGCTGCATATTGATGTGAGTGATAGGAGTTGTAGGTTATAGCTGTATATTGATGTGGGCTGTGAGTGATAGGAGTTGTAGGTGATAGCTGTATATTGATGTGAGCTGTGAGTGATAGGAGTTGTAGGTTATAGCTGTATATTGATGTGAGTGATAGGAGTTGTAGGTGATAGCTGTATATTGATGTGAGCTGTGAGTGATAGGAGTTGTAGGTGATAGCTGTATATTGATGTGGGCTGTAAGCGATAGGAGTTGTAGGTAATAGCTGTATATTGATGTGAGCTGTGAGTGATAGGAGTTGTAGGTTACAGCTGTATATTGATGTGAGTGATAGGAGTTGTAGGTGATAGCTGTATATTGATGTGAGCTGTGAGTGATAGGAGTTGTAGGTGATAGCTGTATATTGATGTGAGCTGTGAGTGATAGGAGTTGTAGGTGATAGCTGTATATTGATGTGGGCCGTAAGCAATAGGAGTTGTAGGTAATAGCTGTATATTGATGTAAGCTGTGAGTGATAGGAGTTGTAGGTGATAGCTGTATATTGGTGGGCTCTGAGTGATAGGCGTTGTAGGTGATGGTTGTATATTGATGTGAGCTGTGAGTGATAGGAGTTGTAGGTTATAGCTGTATATTGATGTGAGCTGTGAGTGATAATTTTAGGTGATATCTGTATATCGATGTGAGCTGTGAGTGATTGGAGTTGTAGATGATAGCTGTATATCGATGTGAGCTGGGAGTGATAGGAGTTGTAGGTGATATCTGTATATTGATGTGGGCTGTAAGCGATAGGAGTTGTAGGTGATAGCTGTATATCGATGTGGGCTGTGAGTCATAGGAGTTAAAGGTTATAGCTGTATATCGATGTGAGTGATAGGAGTTGTAGGTGATAGCTGTATATCGATGTGAGCTGTGAGTGATAGGAGTTGTAGGTGATAGCTGTATATTGATGTGGGCTGTAAGCGATAGGAGTTGTAGGTGATAGCTGTATATCGATGTGGGCTGTGAGTGATAGGAGTTGTAGGTACTTGTGATCAGGCCAGCACTGGCTATCGAGCAAACCTGGCAAATTCCCGGTGGGCCGAGATGGCTATGGGCCGAGGTCAGCAGAGGAGAGGCTTTCATTCCCCTATCGGCCCATGCAGAACCAGCCTTGCTGTGGGACCTCTCAGGCGGGTGGGAAGATCAAAGAGAATCAGCCTGCAGCTACTGGACTGCAGGCTAAAGAGCCACCGCTGGACCACCAGGGCTTGCAGCATTATGTCCCCCCTCCCTGGATAAAGTTCAGAAGGCTGGAGAGACCTAAAACTTTTTTTATTTTTTTATACATAAATAATTAAAAATATATATATATTCTAACATTACTTTCCACACACACAGGACCCCTAAACACACAGAACCCCTTTGGGAAGGATTTTCCACAACCCGTTCGGTTGTCTCCACCCTTTGCTATTTTATTCACTGGATTATTTTATTTTTCGTAGTTCGTGGGTTTTGATATGTATAAAGTATATTTTAAAAAATTGTGAAATTGTTAACTTTTTCTGGCCAGCAGATAGAGTTTAGTATGTTCCCAAAACTCAATTATTTCGCTGGCTCAGAGGAGGAGTCTGATGTTGTATAAATGGAATGCCCTTGCTTCCATTAAATGAGTCTTGTTCCAGCATTAAGCTTTGGCTCATGTGTGGATTATTATGCGACAGCAGCGATATTTTACTCTGTGGATTATTGGCAATATTGTTTTATGGGAATAAGGGAATGCTTGATGGTGATACATATTCAGACCGTCACACAATCACACAGCACCCCTTGCACACATAACCCTTCACACACAAAACAACCCTCCACACATACAGCACCCTTCATACACACAGGACCCCTAGACACACACTCTCCACAACCCCTACACATTCTACGTCACCTATACACACATACACTGCAGTGCCTGTGTACCCAATAGCTGCATCCCCTACACACACTATGCCCATATACACACACTAAGGCTCCTATACAAACACTCACTACAGCCCTGAGGCAGACATATAATACCCCAAACAATACACAACTGAAACTAAAACACAAAAACACCACACATAATCACTTCATAATCACTGTTTCTTTACTTGTTCCCGTGTTTGCACTTTGCACTGGGTCACACACATCATCCCTCTGCACACCTCCACACACAGCACCCCTCCACACACACAGCACCCCTCACCACACGGCATTCCTCCACACACAGCACCCCTCACCACACGGCATTCCTCCACACACAGCACCCCTCACCACACAGCATTCCTCCACACACACACACAGCACCCCTCACCACACGGCATTCCTCCCCACACACAGCACCCTTCACACACTGCACCTCTCACCACACAGCACCCCCCTCCACACACAGCACCCATCACACACACAGCACCCCTCACCACACACAACATTCCTCCACACACACAGCACCCATTACCACACATAATTCCTCCACACACAGCACCCCTCACCACACAGCATTCATCCACACACACAGCATTCCTCCACACACACAGCACCCCTCCACACACAGCACCCCTCCACACACACAGCACCCATCACACACACCCTCACCACACACAGCATTCCTCCACACACAGCACCCCTCACCCACACAGCATTCCTCCACACACACACACACAGCACCCCTCACACACGTGCATTCCCTCCACACAGCACCCTTCACACACTGCCTCTCACCACACAGCACACCCCTCCACACACAGCACCCATCACACACACAGCACCCCTCACCACACACACACATTCCTCCACACACACAGCACCCATTACCACACAGAATTCCTCCACACACAGCACCCTCACCACACAGTATTCATCCACACACACAGCAGCATTCCTCCACACACACAGCACCCCTCCACACACACAGCACCCTCCACACACACAGCACCCATCACAAACACAGCACCCCTCACCACACAGCATTCCTCCACACACACAGCATTCCTCCCCACACCACCCCTCACCAAACACTGCATCCCTCCACACACAGCACCTCTTACCACATAACATTCCTCCACAAACGGCACCCGTCACACATACAGTACCCCTTACCACACAGCATTCCTCCACCCACACAGCACCTCTCCACACACAAAGCACCCCTCACCACACGGCATTCCTCCCCACACACAGCACCCCTCACCACACACTGCATCCCTCCACACACAGCACCTCTTACCACACAACATTCCTCCACACACAGTACCCGTCACACATACAGTACCCCTTGCCACACAGCATTCCTCCACCCACACAGCACCTCTCCACACACAAAGCACCCCTCACCACACGGCATTCCTCCCCACACACAGCACCCGTCACACACAGCACCCCTCACCACACACTGCATCCCTCCACACACAGCACCTCTTATCACACAACATTCCTCCACACACAGCACCCGTTACACATACAGTACCCCTTACCACACAGCATTCCTCCACCCACACAGCACCCATCCACACACAAAGCACCCCTCACCACACAGCATTCCTCCACACACACAGCACTCGTCACACACAGCAACCCTCCACACACACAGCACCCCTCACCACACAGCATTCATCCACACACACTGCATCCTTTCACACACACAGCAACCCTCCACACACACAGCACCCCTCACCACACAGCAACCCTCCACATGCACAGCACCCATCACAACACAACATTCCTCCACACACAGCACCCCTTACCACACAACATTCCTCCACACACAGCAACTCTCCACACACACACAGCACCCCTCACCACACAGCATTCCTCCACACACAGCACCCTTCACCATACAGCATTCCTCCACACACAGCACCCCTCCACACACACAGCACCCCTCACTGCACAACATTCCTCCACACACACAGCACCCCTTCACACACACAGCACCCCTCACCACACAGCATTCCTCCACACACACAGCACCCCTCAACACACAGCATTCCTCCACACACACACAGCACCCATCACACACAGCATTCCTCCACACACACTGCATCCCTAAACACACACTACGTCACCTATACACACATATATACTGCAACGCCTGCATTGGGTCAGTAGTACAGTATTTGCCCACATATAGTCATAGAAGCTTGTATTGTGTGAAAGGGCACTTCCTACCATCCAATCCCATGCCTTCACCTGATAGTATTCTGAGATATAAACAAGGCTGGGCTTGTTGTTGCTTCACTGTGATTTGTAAGAGTGATCTGTTAGTTCCTGGGCTGGAAACATTCTTCCTCATTCAGTGAAAGCGTTCGGTCTGTGATCCATTCCTGAAGATGGGATGCCTGGTCAGAATCCTCCTGCTGTGCTGTGTGACCTGGGCAGCCCAGGGAACAGGTGAGACTTTGTAACACGATTCACATACACAACATTCTGAGGGTTAACACTTTAAGATCCAGAAGAACCGCATGGATCAGAGGTTAACCCTTTGTGTGCTAGGTGTGTGCAAAGCAATTAGGTGGGTTCATATGTATTGTTTTTAAAGATATATTATTACAGATAGGTAGATATGGTTGAATTGTTTTTGCATGAGTTTCCTAATTCCCTGTATAGTTTTTCAGTTCACCACATGCAGATACTCTATATGAGAACCAGTAGTAGTCCAAAAGGATTAACACACTAGCAGCTTATTTTAGAGTGCAAGTTCTTTGGGCTAGACAGTATTATTTCCTAGTAAAAGCAATGTTGTCATACAATGGTTAATGTGTGTATGCATTATTAAACAGTTCAATACATTCTGTAAACTGAACTTTATTCTACGTTCACACATGGAAAGAATTGTCCATTTATAATTACTGGATCAGCAGATATTTTGCTGCAGAATTATTTAGGCAACTTCTAAAATCCCTTTAAAACCCCTCTCTCCAGCACCAAAGTGACAGTAATAAGGTCCAAAACTGAACCCAGTATGCATATTATTCAGAAGGAGTGGGGCGTGTTAGTAAGTAACTGTTTGCACACAGAGTTAAATACCAGCGAGCTTTGACCTAAGTCTACAATGTAATATATCTGTTTATAATCTAAACTCGGGGTCAAATCGAAATGTCCTGCAAAGGTTTCTGGGACTTATTTTAGCATTATTGCATTATAGGGCTGATGCAGGTTAAACTTGCAGGCAGAGTGAAACAGGAGGACCATTATTATGAGGATGATTTATTTATGTTACATTTATTTTTTCTTTACAAACAGGGTAGAAGGGGAAGATTTGAGTGATCAAGTACTGTTCTGGGGCAAAATGCTAAATGTCAAGAAATGTTTGTTCTTGTTTTTGTTTCCACACCGATTGTTGCATATTTAGCTCTTTACCCCAGATTAGTAGCTGTTTTTTTTTTGTCTCCCCTTGTGTGCGCCCCTGTAGTCGGCATTTCTCTACCACTTGGAGATCAATAAATAAATAATACAATATATTAAGACTGCTATTTTTTTGCTGCAGAGTCTTGACTTAAAGGAACACTCCAGTCACCATATTAAGTAAATCAAAATGAAGTTGTTATGGTCCCAGAGGCCCCCAGGCATTTTCTTACCTTCATGGGTTAAACCATTCTTGAACAATGTTACTCCAAAGGCAGAATCTGGCTTTGGAAATTGAGTTTCAGGAAGCGCAGAGTGCCGCTGGGGACGGTCGCCACTGATTGGCTCAGAGCGTCAACTGTCTGCTCTAGCCTATCAGTGGTGTCCCTGCCCAGTGGCACTCCGTGCTTCCTGAAACTCAAGCCAGAGGCAGCTTTTGGGGTTAAACTGTTCACAAACTGTTTAACCTTTTATGGTAGGAAAGCCCCTGGGGGCCTCCTGGTACCATAACATTTTCATTTAGATGAGGTTGTTATGGTGACCGTTGTGTTCCTTTCATTTTAAGGATAACATGAATATTCAATATTTTCAGGTGAAGAGGATTCAAGGCCGTTGTTGGAGACAAAATATGGAAAACTTCTGGGGAAAACGAATGTTGTGAAAGGGACAGATCGGAGCGTACACGCGTTTCTGGGAATCCCCTTTGCGAAGCCTCCGGTTGGCGAGTTAAGATTTGCTCCCCCACAGCCACCTCTGCCTTGGAACTCTGTCAGGGATGCAACTAATCATCCACCCATGTAGGTTTTGTGCAGCGCACTGTAGTAACGTTTATCTATTGTAGGACTTTGTATTTGAGTTTTTTTTTACTGTTTTATGTTTCTACATTTCAAAGCATTTTACAAAGCTGAGGATGCATTAAACGCATTGCTGTAAAAATACAGAGAGTAGTTTAAGTACATAGAGCAGTATCATTACACTGATATTCTTAAAGGTTTACTTCAAGCACCATGACCACTTTCAGTGAGTTGTAGTGGTCCTGGCGCCTGGATAATTGACTTTGAAACTCTGCACATGCACGTTTAACCTTTTTGTTGTCAGAGGTGTAATTCCATCTCTGTACATTTTTTATGCATAGTGTGCAATTCATTGACTGAGAAGGTTAGCTGACAATATCACCCAATCAATTGAAACAGGATCAGTTTCGAGCTCTGCTGTAGGTGCATCAACAGAGCAGCAATTAGCCTTTGAACCCAGCAGGTACCCAGGTAAGAGGACAAACAGTTTTCTCCATTACCGGGTGAATTGGACTAGAGTACTCATGGCGTCATAACCAATACAAAGATGCTTGGAGTAACCCTTTTCATGCTGTTACTCCAAGCACCAGGACAACTTCAGCATTTTAAACAAATGGGTGGCAGGACCAGCACAGTCATCCAGCAGGAGCCTGGTATATTGTTAAACCATGGTACCATGATGCTTGGAGTGTTCCTTTAAGGGCTGTCCACATTAGTTAACATGTACCCGTGCTCAAGTTGTGGACTGTTACCACCTGTATTGTAAGGATTATAATTTCTATTATCCACAAAAGTCACCGAGCTTCTACCCGAAGCCGTTGCTTATTGAGCAGATATGCCACCTTGGAGGGGAGGTGGGGTGGGGGTCACAGGTCTTTGCAAAGACCATTAAAGTGCCATTGCTGCTTTAATACAAAATCTTGTATTGCTGTAGACTTGTTGTTCGCTAAAACATTTACACAGAACATGTCTATAGAAACCGTGTTAGTGCCCAGAGGCAGTGGGTGTTGGATGCAATGTTTGTGGTCTATTACTATACATCACTGTTCTGTTTATATAAGGTAGGTAACAAGACAAGGTCATAAAAGGAATGAAAGATGTTTATATCTTACTGTTTGACACAGGTAAAGATATTCAACATGCGTGAAGGTGTTATTCATAAATGGGACACTATAAGCACACAGTCCACTTCATTTCATTGAAGGGGTCTGAGTGAAGTGCACCTGTCCCCTTAGAGGAACACACTAGGATACTCCTAACACTACAGTTTCCATCTGCCTATAACTGACCTCCCCTGGCCATGAAATGGATAAAAATAAATAAATATTATTTTACTTACCTGATTCCAGTACTTAGGTCACACATTGCTGAATTGGACTTCTCTTCATGCAACGTCATGCATGGTGCATTAGACCTTCCCATAGGATAGCATTGACACAGTCATTTAATTTTGTCCATAAATGGGAAACTCCCAAATCAATTGGTTGAGTGAATGGTCCTGGAAATGAGTATACTATGGGATGTCATTTGGCCGTATAATTTGGTTGTGCAACTAACAATTTTAAAACTTTATTTCTAAAATAGAATGATTTTGGTTTTGTTCTGCAGGTGTTTACAAAATCCGGCTGCCATGGAATTACTTAATGAGTTTTTTAAAGGCGCTTTTCGCTTCCCCCCTATTTCTGAGGACTGTTTAATGCTTAATGTTTTCACACCAGCCGATCGAGGACAGGACGCCCGGCTTCCAGTGAGTATTCAGTTATAAAAACCACAATGCATAGCAAATGTGTGATTTTACTGGCCCATCTCCAACCAGTAAGAAGTGTGGGAACTCGGTTCCCTCTGGAAATATAGCGAGAGATCTATGTTCCCATGGGTTCCCAATGCACTAGAACCCATTTACTGAATTTAAAAAAAATACATTTTTATCTGTCATGTATAACATGACAGGTGCCCTTTAAAACACTATTGGGGTTATTTACTAAACCAGAAATTGAGAAGAATTTGACAAAAGTTAATGTAATTTTATTGCCCCAAAAAAGTATGAATTTTTTGCATTTCATCTATTTTATCCTACAGTTCGCAGCTCCCTGACCAATTCTACAGTTTCTAATTTGGTCAATAACTTCAATTAATAGAACAGAGCACTTAGAATCTGGCCTGGAACTGTGTGCCTCCATCTTTACAGTTATACGCTTTGTCAGTCACCGTAGGGTGTGGAGAAGGAGAAATAGAAACATTGTTTCTTTTCATCCAAAGCAACGTGTGCCTTGGTTATGCCTTGATTGAACTGGATTATTACTGTATGTTAATATACATTTAAATGAAAACTGCATCACAAGAGAAGATAAAAGCTAACACAAGTTATAGGTAAATTTTTATTGTTTGATTAATTTGTTCCTTTTCCATAAAAGTGATGGAAGGCGGATATAAATTCCAAGAAAATCTCCGTGAACTACCTCTATAGTTGACCCTCTTTTTTTAGTGCCTTGTGTGGATAATAAATATATAGATAATGTTGCAAAGGAAGCTCTAATCAGAATCCTTAATTAACAACCATTCATTATTTTCTCCCTTGATTTATCTCCTGCCCAGGTTATGGTGTTTATTCATGGAGGGGGACTTACGATGGGAGGAGCTTCCATGTTTGAAGGATCTGCAATGTCTGCCCACGAGAATGTAGTATTGGTGATAATTCAGTACAGACTGGGATTGCTGGGATTTTTAAGGTAACTTATTACACCCATGTGTCATATCCAGTGTATACCCATGCACAAAGATGGCAGAATCCCCCCTGCCACCCAAAAAAAAATAATTATATATATAGTAAAAACAGGGGTAATTCACAGCATGTAAATGTCTGCCCACGAGAATGTAGTTTTGGTGGTAATACAGCACAGACTGGGATTGCTGGGATTTTTAAGGTAATTTATTACACCCATGTGTCATATCCAGTGTATACCCATGCACAAAGATGGCAGAATCCCCCCACCCCCCAAAAAAAAAAATTATATACATAGTAAAAACAGGGGTAATTCACAGCATGTAAAAGCCTAATCACCAAAATCTGGGGTCTCTCTTTTTCTGTAAAGGGTAGTATAATACAGAAGGGTTGAGATACCCGTAGGAGATATATGTAACAACAAGAAGAAAGGTAACGGAAACTGATAGTGTAACATGTTAGAATCTCCTGATAAAATGGAGGCAGTGTGCACTCACACTTTTAGAGAGCTTAGATTCAGCTCCAACTTGAACGCTACACCCTTCTGTTATATAAACAATTATTTTTTATAAAACAACTTTCAGTTAATACTGGCCCTCTCGTTACATAATTACATAGTTACATAGCTGAAAAGAGACTTGCGTCCATCAAGTTCAGCCTTCCTCACATTTGTTTTTTGCTGTTGATCCAAAAGAAGGCAAAAAACCCAGTTTGAAGCACAATTTTGCAACAAGCTAGGAAAAAAATTCCTTCTTAACCCCAGAATGGCAGTCAGATTTATCCTTGGATCAAGCAGTTATTGCCCTACATTGAAAGATTATATCCTTGAATATTCTGTTTTTGCAAGTATGCATCTAGTAGCTGTTTGAACATCTGTATGGACTCTGATAAAACCACAGTTCAAAAGGCAGTGCATTGACCTCACCAAATCGTCCTCTGAATTGAGTTAGTGATAAATAAACTAATTCTTATACTTTGCTGTAAGTTATTCCAGTAAAATTAGCTGAATTCCATTGCAAATTAAATCCCCAAATATGCATAACTGACCGAGTTTGCAAATTGTTGCCATATTTTTTATCGTAAATGTTCTCGTTTCAGAATAAATTGGTCATATTGAGTTTTTGAGCACAAAACATGTACTGGCTGCAGCATTATTTTTTTATTACATACCCATAATTGAATTTAGTTTGTTTTTGAATCTATTATTTTGATATTTTTACACAATTCTAATAAATGATCACTGATATGGCCACAAGCACGTAACCCACACTGCGAACTGAAATAAAGCCTTGAGATTGAGGGAAGAGCAGCACAGAAAGTGAGATGATAAATATGTTGATATTGATGATGTAATTCTATCCTGCTCTATATTACTGACACTATATAATAGCCATGTACATAGCGGATTGGAGATTTAACTGGAATACACCGGGATACACTGTATCTGTAAACCTCCCTTCCTCCTTGTTCTATCTCAGTACCGGTGATGATGAAGCACCTGGCAACTATGGGTTTTTGGATCAGGTTGCAGCTCTTCAGTGGGTCCAGGACAACATTGAGAATTTCGGAGGGGACCCAAAGTCTGTCACCATATTTGGGGAATCTGCAGGGGGTGTGAGTGTTGCTGCTCAGGTAAGGTCCTCTTGGTATTTTGTCTCTCTTTACCATGGCACTACTGAAACTACAACAATGGTTTTCATATGGAGACACCTGTCTCCTATTTCATTGGCTTTTGATCTTCCATTCCTATATTTCATCCTTGATAGCCTACCAAATACCTTCATACCCACCACATTCTGTCCATTAAGGGTTTCATATTGAACAACCACCACTGAAACTTCAAGACCAAAATCGTCATGGCTTACTTGATCTATAGAGTGTCCTACCACTCTTGTTTTAAGCATCAACCCTCTAACTGATTAATGCTTTGATTAATTATCTGTATATTCTAAAACTGCTGATTATATACATCATTCAACTCTTCTGTAACCATTCCTCTCTCTCTTGTCTTTGTGCCATTTCCAGGTTTTGTCTCCTTTGTCCAAGGGTTTGTTCCACAGAGCCATCGCAGAGAGTGGAAGTGCTCTATTACCCTCCCTCATGGCAACCACATCTGAGGAGATCAAGTTTCTTTTAAATGTAAGTGAACATGATCTGTGTCTGTGGGGAAGGAGACAATGTACCGGGAGTGTCTGGCTGGCATACTTGGTGCCATATTAGAGGGAGGATAAGTGAAGTAGAAAAAGATATTTAACTTTCAGTTATCCAGTACTGTTGGCGAGTAAAAAAGTTCTTGTAATTTCAAACTCCCATGGAGGTAGGTGGTATAAGTGTGTGTGTGTGTGTATATATATATATATATATATATATATTGTATATATACACATATCTATTGTATGTTCTATGAGCATTCCATGACTGCTGTTGTTGGACTCTGATTCCAATAGACAAAGCAGCAGATAACGTGAACTAGGATGCAAGTTGCGAGGTGGAGCCTTCATGGATCAGAATTGTTCCACCAGATCCCACAGATGCTCAATTAGATTTAAATCTGGGGAATTTGGAGATCAAGGCAACACCTTGAACCTTGTCATGTTCCTCAAACGGTTCCTGAACAATTTTCACAGGGTGCATTATCCTGGTGAAAGAGGCCACTGCCATGAGGGAACACCATTGCCATGAAGCAGTGTATGTGGTCGGCAACATTCTATAGTAGGTGGTATGCGTCAAAGTAACATCCACATGAATACTAGGATCCAATGTTTTTCCAGCAGAATATTGCCCAGAACATAACACTGCCGACGCCGGCCTACCTTCTTCCCTTAGTGCATCCTGCTGCCATATCTTTCCCAGGTAGTGACGCACCTGATCTAAAAGAAAAAGTGATTCATCAGACCATGGCAACCTTCTTTCAGGGCTCCATGGTCCAGTTCTGATGCTCACTTCTGATGCCTGGACAGGAGTCATCATGGGCACTCTGACCGGTTTTCAGCTATGCAGCACCACATGCAGCAAATTGTGATGCACTGTGTGTTCTTACATTTCCTATCATTGCCCTCATTAACTCATTAAAATTTCCAGCAATTTGAGGCACTACAGTAGCTCTTCTATGTGACTGGACCAGACAACTAGCTTTGTTTCCCATCAATGAGCCTTGTGCGCTCCAGACCCTGATGCCGGTTCACCAGGTGTCCTTCCTTGCACCACTTAGGGTAGGTACTAACCATTGCATACCAGGAACACCACCCAAGACTTGCTGTTTTTGGAGATGCTCTGACCCTGTAGTGTAGGGGGCTGTCTGACAACCGAGGCAGTCCCCCTGCAGCCAATCCCGCCCATCCGTGTTATGTGATCGTGATGATAGTGCAATCACATGACCATAAAACCTGTACATCAAGCATGTCAAGCTCAAAGTCTAGGACGGCCCAAATAAACAAGGTTTAAGTTAATGTGGGCCGCAAAAATATTTAAAAAAATTATAAATTTTCATAGAAACGTAGGTTTATTTTGAAAAGTACAGTATAAAAAAGCCCCCAGACTACTAAACCACAGCACCTCCATCTACTAAATCCCACTCACCCCCTCTAATAAATCCCAGTCGCCCCCATATACCAAATCCCAGTCCCCCCTCTACTAAATCCCAGCACCCACATCTAGCCAACAAGCAGACTCCACTCACATTGCCGCTGCCAGTATGTGTCTCCGGAGTCCGGCCTCTGGTTTACACCAAATGGCGCCATCTGCCCCCTGTGCCAAAAAAGATCCTCATGCTACTTCTTGAAACCCTTTGAAGGTGGAGCACGTCCACGTTACTTTGAAATGTGACGTGGCATTGTGTGCCCCATGCACCTCCAGGTCCTCCACTCTCAAGCCGCGGCCATTGCAACACTGACTGACACACACACTGACTGACACACACACTCACTGACACACTCACTGACACACACACAGACTCACATACACACACTCACTGACACACCCAGACTGACACACATACACAGACAGACACACACATGCTCACCGACAGACACACACACTCACACTCACTGACAAACATACATACACACACTGACAGACAGACACACACTCACTGACAGACAGACACACACTCACTGACAAACAGACAGACACACACACTTACTGACTCGCAGACAGACACAGACTCACACACTGACAGACACAGACTCACTGACACACACACATTTACATATTCTTGCACACACTCTCATCATTATATTTATCCCTGGGGTCCAGTGGGGATCTTCTATCTGGAAATCTCCTTCCTGCTACTCACTGCACCCTCATGCGCGCAGTTTAATGGTGCCGGAAAATGACATATTCCGGCACCCGGCATCACTACAGACCGTGCGTGCGAGGGAGAAGTGAGGAGCAGGAAGACTGAGCTCCTCCAGCGACCGCTCCTTCCGGCCGGGTAAATTTTAGCAGAGTAGATACCTGCAATGTGGACAAAGCAGGTGCCCACTCTGCTTTAACACTAAGCATTGTGTCCATTGTGGGCCGTGTGTTTGATATGCTTGTTGTACATGGAGGGCATCGTTGTACTTGTGAGACATCACCGCATACAAATATGTGTGTTTTCTTGCAGTAAAAGCTAACAGTATTTTAACATTCACAGTTAAAATACCATGAAAAACTAAATTTAATATTAATAAAATTTTAAAAAGTGTGAGAAATTATGTTTCATATATAAATATTTGATGTATTTAATCATCAATGTCAATTTTAACATTCACAGTTAAAATACCATGAAAAACTAAATTTAATATTAATAAAATTTTAAAAAGTGTGAGAAATTATGTTTCATATATAAATATTTGATGTATTTAATCATCAATGTCAATGAGTATAAATATTTAATTGACATGAAAGCCCTGTGTCACGATTCGGGGAACCCAACACGCTGGCACACACACACACACAGAAAAGGTGCCGTACCGGACCTTAGAGTGGCCGGGCTAAGCACGCTAAGAATAGTCAGGAGACAAGCCAAGTAAAGGGAGCCAGAAAACGGGAGAACGAGAAACAAGCCGAGGTCAAAGGAGTGGAGAAGACAGGATAATCGGAATAACGAGCCAAATAATCAGTAACCAGAGAGCAACACAAGAACACTACGCTACAGGTATCACAAGACCACAACAGGGCACTGAGGGACAGGAAAAGTAAGTATAAATACCCTTGGTTTAATTCTAATTGGATAACTTCCAATCAGAATTAACAATCACACGTGGGGGATATCTATACCTCCCACTGTGATTGTGGTACTGTTCCTTTAACGCCGGGTCACTCACGTGACCCCGGCGTTTACATAGTTCAGTGACCTCCCAGCGTGCAGCGTTATACATGCTGCCACTGGGGGGCGTGGAGGACGCGGGCGGCGAGCGGCAGAGAGGAGACGCCGCTCGACTGACAGGTAAGCAGAGGGGAGACCGCGGGAGGCGTTGGACTGAGGGTGAGTGCTGCTGTTTTAGCAAAGTCTAATTATTTTCAAGCAACATTTTAATAGGGATGTTAAGAAGGTTGATTTGGGTAATTTGATGGACCAACTTGCTTTATAGTTTGTGATCTAATTGCTCAAAACAAGTTTCACAATAAAGGAAAAAGACACACATTTCAAGGCAGTGTTCACAAAGTAAGAGATATGAAATATGTACAGGGTCTGCTCCTTTTATATAAAATACAAATGCCTAGCGAAGCACTGCAATGTAAGTGTTAGAATAGATACACAGATTTGTAGATTATATTGTTCATTGATTATCCCAGTCCTGCCCGACTCAAGAAATGGCGATGGACATGGCATGGCTCGATGTCTAGTGTAAGTTATTTAGCGAGAGACCGCTTCAATGGCTCATTAGGATATAGAGTGACTAACATTTATAATGGGAAAATATACAATATATATTGAGTAAAGCTTGACATACAAGGGCTGTCACTTAAAGGAACACTATAGGGTCAGGAACACAAAAGTATATTTCTCACCCTATAGTGTTAGAACTGCCATCTAGCCCTTCTGCCTCCCTAAATATAGTAAAATATTACTTGTATTCAAGTCTGCAGCTGCTGCCTTTGCCCCTGATCTCCTTGCTTGGCTGACATCTTCAGAAGTGATTCTCTGAGACAATCACAATGCTTTCCCATAGTATTTTGGTTTAGACTCCAAGGAGGCAGATCAGGGGCAGAACCAGCACAGGTCAAACACAGCCCTGTTAAATCAGAATCTCCTCATAGAGATACATTGAATCTATGAGGGAAGTTTAGTGTCTCCAAGCAGAGGGTGGAGACATTGAATGGCAGTGCTCAGCCATCTGAGGAGTGGCCAGTGGAGGTATCACTAGGCTGTAATGTAAACACTGCATTTTCTCTGAAAAGACTGTGTTTACTGGAGAAAGCCTGAAGATAATGATTCTACTCACCAGAACAAATACAATAAGCTGTGGTTGTTCTTGTGACTATAGTGTCCCTTTAATGAGCAAGGGGTTAAAACTTAAATGGGGAGTTTTTTTAATACTTCACAATAGTGCAACGCCAGAAATCAATTCATGTGTTCAGCTTTAAGTACATATAATACCTGCCTGAAAGATCTTATTACATGGCTAAAATTCACACCTTCGCCTTATAGGTAGTTGTTAATATAACTAGCTGTGATCCAACTGCATTGGTGAAATGTCTGAAGGAGAAGACGGAAGAAGAACTGCTTGAATTCAGTATAGCTTTGGTAAGATGCACCATATGCTCATGTCTAGTGTTGCTTGACTCATGGTATACAAGTGTTTCTTCCTTTAAATTAAAATATGAGCTTTTAATAATATTATTTCCATTGCCCTTGTCTCCTGTTTAGAGTCTTGTTTTCAGTGGTTGTTACACTTCCTGTAAGACATACCTTACCTGTATACCTCTGTTTGGGGAGCACATACTTGTTTCCCATAACAGGTTAGAAGTCCCCAGCACTTTTTGTTGGCTTTATGGTATGCAAAAAAAAACAAAAAACTTATATGTTCTCTCTCTTTCTCCATTCTCAGATTTTCTGTCCAAAGCTGCTGCAATAAATCACTCTGGCTGTTTCTCTCCTATCTGTGTTGCTGTTAGTGCTGCTCTCAGTTAGTGCTGCGTTGCTGTTAGTGCTCACGGATTCCCCTGTTTTTTAGAGAGACACTCCAGGCAGCTAAACATGTTAAGCTTAAATTAAAACTAATAAGCTGAACAAATCTCTGGTTAGTTTCTTTTCTTTGAATTCTGTGTAGTTTTCCTGCAGTGCTGTAAAATGTTGCTGTTTTCAGCAGTGTAACACAGCCTTGCTAGCCACCTCCTTTCTCACATTTCAATATGTTCTTAATTCCCAGTCTCTGAAAGAAACTTATCTTTTGCAGCCAATTAAAATAGACGCAAGTCTTATCTAGTTTAAGGATTGCTCACAGCACAGACTGCACTGCAGCTAGAGTCCATATCTGTTCCTCTCCTTCCCTCCTTTTAATGCAAGTAATAAATTCTCCTCCAGCCCCTGTCAGCCAATTTCTCTACCCACAGTTAACCCCATCCCTATCAGCCGACCTCACTAGCTAGTTATTCCCTTCCCTGCCAGTCCCAGTCAGCCAACCTCACTACCCACAGTTAACCCCTTCCCTATCAGCCAACCTCACTACCCACAGTTAACCCCTTCCCTATCAGCCAACCTCACAACCCACAGTTAACCCCTTTCTTATCAGCCAACCTCACTACCCACAGTTCACCCCATTCCTATCAGCAACCTTACTACCCACAGTTAACCCCTTCCCTACCAGCAGGGCCGTCTTTAATTCTGATTGGACCCTGGGCAAGCATTAACTTGGGCCCCCTGACTACATATAGATACACACAAATACAAAACCTGACACACATGCAGATACACACTGACCGCATATAGATACACACAAGAACATACAGATACACACAGACTACATATAGAACACTGACACACAGATAGACACAAACACAGATACACAACCTGACAAACATGCAGATACACAGATACAAACACTGATACATGCAGATACAAAGGTACATACACTGACTACATATAGATACACCGACACACACACTGACACACATACAGACACACAGATACACAACCTGACACACATGCAGATATACATATACAAACACGGACACATACAGATACACACTGACTATATATAGATACACACACAAACACAAACGGACAACATACAGATACAAAGGCACATTCTGACAGACGTACTGACACAGAGACACACACAGACAGCCATACTGAAACACACATACACACAGACATACAGAACCATATGGACACTGACAGACTCACACATAGACATACTGACACACTGACAGACATACAGACATTATGGCACACATACACACAGACAGACATACTGAAACACACATACACACAGACACTGACAGACGTACACACATACAGACATTTTGACACTCACAGACAGCCATACTGAAACACACATACACACAGACACTGACCGACTCACACACACACAGACATTCTGACACACTGACAGACATACTGGCACATATACACACAGACGGACATACTGAAACACACATACACACAGACACTGACAGACATATTGACAAACACACACATACAGAACCACACATACACTGACAGACTCACACACACAGACATACTGACACACTGACAGACATACTGGCACACTGACAGACAGACATACATACATACTCACACACACACACACACACACAGACACTCATGCAAAATTTGATAACCACCCTCCAGTTTCTTACCTTTTCCTGGAGGGTGGCTTCCCTGGGGTCCAGTGGGCTGGCTGGGGTGGCTGGGAGTTAAGCTCTCCCGGCCTGGCCCCCTCCGGAACAGCTCCTTCCTCCCACGCGGCTCTTGTTTCTGTGGGAGGAAGTGACGCGCGGCTGTCACTTCCTCCCAGTTCTGCCGAAAAAGCAGGCTGACACAGGCCCACCGGGTGCCCTAAGTGCATGGGCCACCCGATGGGCCCCCATAGTTTGTGGGCAGAGGGCAAAAGGAGCAGCTGTCTTGGGGCCCCGAGCTGGGACAGGGCCCGGGGCAGCTGCCCCGTTTGCCCTGCGTTAAAGACGGCCCTGCCTACCAGTCCCAGTCAGCCAACCTCACTATGAGAGAGATGGATCGATATATTGATAGATAGCTTTATAGGTGTATATGAGTTTTTCTGTCTCTTTATATTTATTTATTTATAATAAACATGTGTCACAATATGATATCTAATACAAATGAACCATTACAGCAAGGCCTCCTAATAGAGGTTTTAATTATCACATTGTAATAACTGTTAAACAAAGACCAGAGAATGTTTAATTTTTCTCTGATTAACCGTGGCTCAAGGGGCAGTTGTACTCATAGTAACTAATATCTCTCATTTTTTTGTATGTAAATGCAACCATTAAATAGTAGGAAGGATATTTAGCAGTACGGTGAATTTTGGACCAACTCTGAAAAAATAATGTAATGGGAAGTGAAGTTAAAACCAATAATTACTTGCAGTTATCATACAGCCATATAAAGTGGTCAGAACAGAAAATGCCTCTTTTTTTTTTAATTCTCTTTTCTGTATCTCAATAGAATTTGTTTGCCTTACCTGGAACAGTGGACGGGGTGTTTCTTCCCAAACCTGCCGAAGAGATCTTGGCCAATAAAGAGAGTAATGATGTTCCCTTATTGATTGGAGTCACTGAGCAGGAGTTTGGCTGGATCCTTCCGAGCGTAAGGAATAGTTATAGCAATAGAATATTGATTTACCTTATTAGGTATGGTATTAGGTATTAGGTATGGCATGCGCTATTTCATACAAACACAGTGTAATCTGGAAATCTCAATATAGATGCGGAAAACATACATTTTCACAGACTCACACAAGCTACATCCATTGAGATTCACCAAAGCAGATTCACTCAGAACCGAACAACAAAATAGATGCAATGTTTGCATTAATAGATTTTAGACTAGTAGAATTTTGCATTGCTTTGCAAGTTCCAATCCATATTAGCATGGAAGCAGTAAAAAATATTTAATTGTTTCTGGTTTTTTTTTTGACAAGTCAATTTTTATGTTTGAGTTCCCCCATCAAATTCTTACAATTATTTTCCTTACTTATCGGCATTAATATCATGTTTAGAATAGAGTTAAATTTTCTGCTGCCCAATTCAATTAAGAATGTTTTTGTAAAATTATTATCCTACACTCTGATCAATAAAACGTTTCTATTTTCATAAAAAAGGTGTGGAATATTAGTGGATTGAGAGAAGGTATGAACAGAACTACAGTTGAGTCGATTCTGCAAGTTCTTCCTTATTTGGTGAGAATTTTATCTTTACATTAAACAGTGATTATATATGACAGAGAAGCATGATGTGTCATTGTGTGTGTGTGTTTGTGTTCAGCTTAACATAAAATACATTTTAGCTCAAGGAAAATTTACGACGACAGGAAAACTTCAAGTAATATTTCAAATGACACTATAGTCACCAGAACAGCTTAATGCCTTGCATGGAGGGGCAGACAATTCCTCATAAAGATGCATTGATTTCATGCATCTTTATGAGCACATGCTGATTGGTGCAGCATTGCCTTTTGCCATACTTGCACAACAGACTTTCAGTGCTTTCTTATGGTAAAGCATTGGATTGGCTGAAATTGTCAAGTTTGATGATCTCAGCCAAGGAGGCAGAGCAGAGGAGGGCCTGGCTGCAAGAAGACCCGCACTGTGTTAGAAAAAGGTGAGTAAAATCACCTTTTATACTCCTGATGGAGAGCCGGGGCCTTAAACATCACTTTCAGCTATAGTGAAAGTGATGTTTGTATACCCGTCAATATGGTGTGCCTTTAATGCTTTAAAATATGTGAAAAAATAAAGACGTTAATTTCCACCCTTGCAAGTCCATGAGAATGAAAACTAGCACAGGATACGAAACATTATAATAATTGAAATCACAAATGTATAATTCTACCTAGAAGAGGGCAGCATTACAATTTAAAATAAATATAAATGTCTTCTGCCTTTTTATGTTTTTATATATTTAGTAAGGTAAAACTACACCCTGTTCCAAATTATTATGCAAATTCTATTTAAGTGTCACAAATATTAAATATTTTGTTTTTCAGTTTAAATCTTGGAGGGCATTGTGTCTCAGGGCTCTTTTGATAACTGAAAACAATCTCGGGCAACTGTGATAATTAGATTGCCAGGTGAGCACAATTTAAGGAAAAACTGTTAAAGGAGGGTTTTTCACATTATTAAGCAGAGCACCATTTTTATGCAATATAAGGAAGAAAAAGGATCTCTCTGCTGCTGAAAAGAGTGAAATAGTTAAATGCCTTGGACGAGGTATGAAAACATTAGTTATTTCACGGAAACTTAAGCATGATCACCTCACTATTAAGAGATTTGTGGATGATTCAGAGCACAGACGGGTTCCTGCAAATAAAAGCACATTGAGGAAGATTTCTGCCAGATCCATGCATCGGATCAAGAGAGCAGCTGCTAAAATACCATTACATAGCAGCAAATAGATATTTGAAGCTGCTGGTGCCTCTGGAGTCCCATGGACATCAAGGTGTAGAGTCCTCCAGAGTCTTGCAACTGTGCATAAACCTTCTATTCGGCCACCAGTAACCAATGCTCACAAGCAGAAACGGCTGCATTGGGCAGAAAAATACATGAAGACTAATTTTCAAACAGGACTGTTCACTGATGAGTGCCGTGCAACCCTGGATGGTCCAGATGGATGGAGTAGTGGATGGTTGGTGGACAGCCACCCTGTTCCAACAAGGCTGCGACGTCAGCAAGGCGGTGGTGAAATCATGTTTTCGGCCGGAATCATGGGAAGAGAGCTGGTCAGCCCATTTAGGGTCCCTGAAGGTGTAAAGATGACCTCTGCAAAGTATGTGGAGTTTCTGACTGACCCTGGTACAGAAGGAAGAACTATGCTTGCCGTAATAAAATCATCTTCATGCATGACAATGCACCATCTCATGCTGTAAAGAATACCTCTGCAACAATGGCTGCTATGGGGATAAAAGGAGAGAAAGGCATGGTGTGGTCTCCATTCTCCCCATACCTCAATCCTATTGAGAACCTTTGGAGCATCCTCAAGCAAAAGATCTATGAGGGTGGGAGGCAGTTAACATCCAAACAGCAGCTCTGGGAGGCTATTCTGATATCTTGCAAACAAATTCAAGCAGAAAATATCCAAAAACAAGTTCAATGGATGCAAGACTTGTGAAGCTGCTATCAAATAAGGGGTCCTATGTTAAAATGTAACGTGACCTGTTAAAATGTTTAAAAAGTTATAAGTTGTTATAAGTTTGATTGAAATAGCTTTTGATTTCAGTAAATATGCTGCAAACACAACAAATGACAATTTTCAGTTCTTTACAAGCTATAAAGTGTTTTGAAACTTAAGGTGCGTAATCATTTGAAACAGTGCATTGTAAGTTTTTTATGTCTTAAAAAAAATACTGTTATCATTAGGAGGTTTGTTCAATACATTTTGAATTGTACTCTTAATAGTTGAAAACATGAGAATTATGCTGACTGTTATTTACATCAATTATTTAGGTAAATGAGAAAAATAATTTTCATAATAATTTGGAACAGGGTGTTTATTTATGTCTCGTAACTAAATATGTCTCGTCTCAAAAAAACCCAGTATTTATCAGAAAGCTTTATATTTTGTAAATGACTCCCCTATTAAATATTCAGAATAGCGCTCCGGGTGTACTTTCTTTGGTAATGGATGAATATATTGGGGACACTAGTGACCTTCTCGAAATCCGCAACCGATTTCTGGATTTATGTGGAGACGCCGTGTTTGTCATGCCAGCCCTAAGGACGGCTAAATATCACAGAGGTACGTGAATCGGACCTGGATATTAATTTTGTTTCTGCAGTATATGATTAACATCCTTACGTCATTCTCTGGTAATTGCTGATTTTTAAATATACCGATGAAACGGACACTGTGTAAATGAACAATAATTGTTCTTTTATTGCTAGATTCTGGTTTTCCTGTCTATTTCTACGAATTCCAGCACCGTCCATCAGTGTTTAAAGATTCAAAGCCAGATTTTGTTACAGCAGATCATGGAGATGAACTTCTGTTTGTCATTGGAAGCCCATTCTTGTCTGATATGGATCTATTAAGTGGTAAGTCAAAGCCCCTATGTACTGGTTTGGCTCTGTCTCTGTTCCTCCCCAGCCAACATCATCTGGTTGGGGAGATCTAATCTGCATGATACATTACAAGGTACTCGCATTCGTACATCCCCATATGGGATGAATAATGCTTTCCTATGGGGTTTCGGGTGACACTGGATGTCCTCATGCATAGTGTGAGGACATCTAGCGTCAGTTAGGCAACCAAAAGTCACTTAACGACCCGGAAGTCCCACTAGTGGCGGACTGATAAACAGCCACTAGAGGTGGAGTTAGCCCCAGCAGGTACATATTGCCGTTTATTAAAAACTGCAATAATTACCACTGTGGTTTAAGGGACCTGGGACACTGCACCCACACCACTTCAATGAGCTGAAGTGGTCTGGGTGCCTATAATGTCACTTTAAAGTGACACTGTGGCACTTCATCTCATTGAAGTTGGGATAGTTTCTGGAGTCATCCTTTCATTCAGCGTTAAACCATTTTTTTATGTTTTAATGCTAAACAAGAGGCCCCAACCACTCATCACCTCTCTGCTGTTTGGACTAATGAGTTGTATTAGGTGCTGAGAGTTGTAGCTGATCGCTTTCAGCCTACCATAGCGCCCAATGTTGGTATGGCTAAAAGGACGCGTGTAATCTTAACATTACCCATTCCTCCAGTAGGGGCCAGGCTGTGAATAGCCAGTGTTAAACTGCTCAAAGATGTTTTACACTGAATGGAGGGACTATAATTAATTTATTGAGATGAAATGTTTTTAGGGATACTATATATGAGAAAACAAGGGTCTGGCTGCACTCACCTAAGCATGCATAAATAGGGTGCTGCTGGGAGCCAATAAGTACAATAAAAATGAAAATCCAGCGCACTCCCTTATCCAATAAACAGCAATTCTGATGCTGACAGATTTTATTATTTTTTTTAAAAACACCCAATCTAGGCAAAAAAATAATAACCCCTCCCTGTCACAGGTGCCTCACCCCAGGGCCCTATTTAGCCTTGTACTGCAGAGAACTCGAGGTGGAATTTTCCCCCAAGTAAGTAGCTCATTTAGCAGACATTTGGCTGTTAGAGTAGGACCTGCTAAAGATGGGGTACATTGACGTTGTGGCAGGCTTATGCAATGTATGATCATATAATGTAACTAAACCCCCATTATTTTTCACCTAGATTAGGTGTTTTTAAAAAACTAATAAAATCTGTCAGAATTAGAGTTGCTGTTTAGTGGATAAGGGAGTGCGCTGGATTTTCATTTTTATTAAAGGGATACTATAGTCATGTTAGATCCCTGAGCTCACATCAACTTTAGCTTAATGAAGTAGTTTTGGTGTATATATCGTACCCCTTTAGTCTCACTGCTTAATTCTCTGTTGTTTAGGAGTTATATCACTTTTGTTTCTGTCCATGCAGTCCAAGCCACACTTGTGACCTCACCAGCCTGCATAAAAAAATTGTTTAATTTTCAATCAGATGTTGACCTGCATTAGATTTTTTTTTATGTCCTGCTCTGTAAATTGAACTTTTAAAAAAAAAAAATTCTTTATTTTTTTAAAATTCTTTATTTTTGCAGTGCAAAATATACAATACAAGCTGTCAGGAGGTGCCCCAAAAGCAGTCCTCTGGCTTTTCCCATGCTTAACATGCGGGGCACATGAATAACAGGCATAATTTTTTGTTGTAATCAGGCTTAAACAGTTAGATTTAAACAGTTAGATTTAAACGGTGAAAAACTATGCTATGAACAATCTGATGAATGTAATTATGAATGATTAGTTATAGAACAATATCCTTACTATAAATATACACGCTTAAGTCGGTAGTTGGGCGGTCCATCATATCTGTGCACTCAAACTCACACACAAGACTTATTACTAACATAGTGCTTATATCGCTGCCTCAGTGGGTAGGGTGTGTGTGAGGCTGAAGGGACGTGTATTCCCATGGGAATGAAACTCTAGGTGCAGCTAGTATTGTGGTAGCCTGTATGCATGTGTTAAAAATAACGTGAAATCAAGCATAAACAGTCGGTCACCAACAGTCACTGGTCGAGTCAGTGTGAGGTATATTGCAACCCACTCAACGTTGTTGGCAAGTGTCCCGGTCAGCCAGCACCTGTCATAGGCAGTACCCAGTCCCGCTTAGGTGCCCATGTGGGTTCCGGTCTCAGTCGCTGCTTGTGCTTGTGATGTGCCCTGTTTCGTAGCTGTGCGTCTTTGTTGGTCTGACCTGCTGCTTCCGCCATTTTGGGCCCTGTTTTTCACCACTTCCTCATCCGACCCAGGGTAGCTGTGTTCTCGCCTGAACTTTTGCTGGGCGCTGCTTGGCGGTGAAGGGGGCTGGGGTGCTCTGTTTTCCCATGGGTCGGTTGTGGGTCGCCGCTGCTGGGGCTCCCGCAGTGTTTTCTCAAGATGGCGCCCCTGCTGCGTCTGACCTTCTGACTCTTGGTGCTTGTGGGTGTGCTTGTTTCCCGCCGTGCGGCCATCCGTTCAGCATTGTGAATATTGTCTTTTGGCTGGGTCGCCAGGTGTGGAGGGACATTGCACCCAGACCACTTCATTGAGCTGAAGTGGTCTGGGTGACTATAGTGTCCCTTTAAACTGGGAGACAAGGTAATGTTACCTTATCTCCCAGTTTAATAATCCTAATCATCATATGTAATTATGTATCAAAATTGGCTAAACTACTGTTGTCAAATATCTGTGTGCAATGGAAAAAATATTATATATACAAATGTGGATAAAAAAAATATTAAAATGGATAAAATTTATATAAAGCTCTTCGTATAGGAACATGTATTGGTCCTTTATCTATACTCAATAAAGATACAAAAAATAAGTAGAAAAGTGAAGCACTATAAAATTGCATAATGTATGTAGAAACATATTGTGAAACAAGTGTTTTTTTCATGCAATGTCTCAATTAAAAAGTTGTATCACTTATATAATGTCGCAATATAAAACCCTATAACGATATTTCTGTAGTTTCCCTCATTTCCAGAAATACATCTCTTTCAGTAATTCATCTTCATCTTTGAGTTTCTATATTCATGTTACATTGTGTCCACATACAGTAAGTCTATCTGCTTCCTCCCAAAGGTGATATGACAGACGAAGAAAAGACCCTCAGTAAAAATGTCATGAAATATTGGGCCAACTTTGCTCGAAATGGGTAAGACCAGTGTTGAGTACTCGATTTAAAGACTATAATGTTTATAAAGCACTGAGCTTCTCACAGAAGGAACACATTTATGCAAAGAACAATTTGAAGGAATTCATGTGAGGCATCTGAAGGGGCTGAGGCAGAATTTCATAGGTAGTTAGTATTCTGTCCTGAACTGACACCTATTCACGTCAATGCAAATGTCGCAGAAAGAGGCCCACAAATAGTTCGAAATTTCTCACCAGGACATTCCGTGTTGAAGCTATTCATTGCAAGTAAATGTTTCAGCCATCTGATGGTTCAGGCACCTCGCAGCAAATTGTCAAATAGATGATAAAAGCCATAGGAGTCCCCCAGATCCTGTATAAACCAATCAGATAGATAAGATCCCTCTTGTTCCTTCTTAGGAGATGTGGTTGGCAGAATTTTATAATAAATCTGGTGGGCTGCCTTTGCTCTCCATGTGACATCCACTGGCTGTGGGGTTGCAAGTTTAAAAATAGGAGACAACAAGACCTTATGGCTACAGGGAACTTGCCCAGTGTTGCCCCCTTTCATTCAGTCACCCATGTTCAGCAAGTGAGGGGTGGTTAATGTAGTGGGTGTGTAGTTTACCCCATTTCATTTATTAATGGGAGACCAGAAGTCAGAAAGCAAATATAGAAGGCAAATATTAGCTGATGCTCCATAACTAAAATCCCCACTAGCAATGCATCAAAGGATATATCTGGCCCTCTCTTTTGGCCTGTTATGAAATCCAAATATGAGGTGTGTAATCACTATCAACCAATGCCCACTACTTACTCTTGATTTATAAACCTGCAGTGATCCAAATGGACCAGGTCTGGCCAAGTGGCCTAAATATGATGAAGATGAATATTATCTGGAAATTAACCTTGAACAAAAAGCATCCAGGAAGCTAAAACATGGAAGATATGAGTTTTGGACAAAGACACTTCCTGAGAAAATCCAACAATTATCAGCAGGAGATCGTACAGAGTTATAAACTGCTTAACATTTTGTCTTGTCTACAAAATTTCCTAATCAATAAAATAAAATACATTTTAATACAGGTTGCAAAGTTCATGGTTTTTAATAGTTGCTCTGGAGCTGGATCTTCACCAAAACTGGTATCTAGACTCGCTTACTATGGCCACAGATGGCCTCTATAACCTAGATGATTCAGACAAACACATGAATTAATACTTCCGTGCTAATTCAATGCTTCCATGCATAACAGCCCTCTAGGCATTACAAATATACTAATTAGTAATGTTGCAGTTGAGAGATATTATGTAACATTCAAACTGCTTTAAGGCTATTAGAGTTGGTAGCATTGAGGCACATTCTGGTGATGTCCCACTGACTTGTGAATTCTATGGACGGAACAGGGGTGTAACTAGAAACTACAGAACAACTCTTTAGAGGACTAATTCACCTGCCCTATCTAGTCCTTGTGTGGCTGACTGCGGCTATAGGATAGAATAGAATTCACACGTCAATTAGCTTGTTACGTTTGTAGTCTAAGCCATTAAACATGATCTGACACATCCATCTGTTATATTGTAAAATGGCTTGTGATTCACAACAGACAAAACCTGTTGTAGAATATACATCCCACATTTGATTTAAATGATTACAGGTGATCATATAATTTACCTTAGCATCTCCTGCACAATCTCCAAGCTATGATTCACACTTCGAGCCTGCCTGTGCCCTCCTCAGTGTATATACTGATTAAACAGGCAAATTGTTTGTGATTGCTGGACGTCCGAGGGATTTCAAAGCTGCCTAAGTAACAGGAATACGGTTATCAATACATTTTAGCACAGCCGTTCGTGACTGACACTTATCATGCCAAATCAGAACTGTTCACAATTCACTATTCATTAACTAAAATGCACACACTTTATTTATATTCCCTGTTTATGTATTAAAGAGCTGAATACGTGAGATCCGCAAAATTAACTTTTATTAACAAATAAGTTCATGGTATATATTTTTTCTTTTGGACCTTCAGTCACTGATCATTAAAGATTATTGTATTTAAGAGTGAGGAAAATATCAATATAATTTTGGTGAGTGCATGGAGGTAAAATGTATGCCAATGTTAAAGGGTCACTATAGTCACCAGAACAACTACAGCTTATTGAATTTGTTCTGGTGAGTAGAATCATCACCTTTAGGCTTTTTGCTGTAAACACTGTCTTTTCAGAGAAAATGCAGTGTTTACATTACAGCCTAGTGATAACTTCACTGGCCACTCCTCAGATAGCTGTTAGAGATCCTTCCTGGGTCATGGCTGCCTAAAATGCATCCAAACATTCAGTATCTCCTCCCTCTGCATGCAGACTCTGAACTTTCCTCATAGAGATGCATTGATTTAATTCATCTCTAAGAAGAGATGTGATTGGCCAGTACTGTGTTTGAATCATGATGGCTCTGCCCCTGATCTGCCTCTTTGTCCGTCTCAGCCAATCCTATGGGGAAGCATTGTGATTGGATCAGGCTACCACTTCTGATGATGTCAGTAGACAGCTTATTTTTTTCTGAGACAAACAGCATGCAGATCTAGAGCTTCAGGTTTGAATACAGTAAGATTTTGCTATATTTATGGAGGCATGAGGGGCCCAGTGGGGCTAGATGGTGGTTTTAACACTATAGGGTCAGGAATACATGTTCGTGTTTCTGACCCTACAGTGATCCTTAAGTCTTGATGGTTGGAGTAACACATGTTGGCTACCTTTGACATATATACAAACATGAAATCAAGTCAAAATTTGAAGTGATCACAAGCTAAAAATGCCCATATAAAGTAATGATGAGTGAAGTCCTCCATCCTTCTGTAACTTTGACAATGAGATGACATCAAATCAATAGCTGAGCACCTGGCCTGTTTATAGTGGATAGTTGTTATACAGAAATTTGGATTATAAATAATGTGTATCAGAATAGATGTTCTCCAATCTCTTCTAGGAACTGAGATAGAATTGATCAAATGTGTCAGTGGCCTCACAGGTACAAAGCTTCATTTCCTTGATATCATGGCCATTTTACAAGACCTGACTCAGTGGGATATCTGTAGATAAGACGATTGTTCTTTGACTGCAATGACATATTTGAAAAAAGCTATTAAAGGAACACAATAGTGTTAAGAATACAAAGCTGTATTTCTAATGTAACCGCAGGTGGTTCCCTTATTTACCACTATAATGTCCTAAAGCATAGAACTTAGTAGGGCTAACCATACAGATATCTTAGCCATAATTTTATATAGTGTAAGAGATCCTCTATTTAACATATATAAATAATTGAGAATACAACATAAAATAAGGATTGTCTTGGAAGCAATAGTTTTGTCTTTTTGGATATTTATTATATAAAAATATAAATATAAAATCCATTATAGCAGAGTTTATAAGATTAAATTACAAGCTTGCAAATATCATTAATAGGTTAACATACCCTTCTGAACATGTCATCATGTCAGCCTCTCTGTCATTTTAAGATGGAGCAGCGTCTGTCTCCAAGTCTCTCCTCCGTTCTTAACATTTAAAAGTACACCTATTTATACCTTAGGTGTCTCCAGTTTAGGGTTACCGTAGTTCATTTACTTTATTCATTTTAGGACCTCCCTTAATTTGGCAAACATACAAGGCCATAACTAAAGGGTGCATACGTCATGTACATTTTCCTGACTTAGTTCAAGATGGCATTTTCAAGTCTGAATAAAAGCTTATCTGTTGTTTATACTAAGATGTAAGTGCACAGTCGTGAGAGATTCCCGGATTTCATTCTAAAACTTTTAATATTTGCATTTGCCCATAACAAGACCAATGGCCATGGGAGGCAAGAGAAGTATGGTATCCTGGTTCTGAGACAAATGAACAACAGATGCCTTCCCAGACTTCGGTACTTCAGCATTTCGGGACTGTGGCTGCTCACTGTTAAAAAAACAAAACAAGGTCCACCTCTCGAGCCCCCAGCCGTGATGCGCGAGTGGGGGCTTTAAAACTAAAGGGGGGACCTATTGCCCCCCTGGCCCCCACCCCTGAGCACCCCTGAGCCTAATGTCCTCCCCCCTGGCCCCCACCCCTGAACGTTGGGTAGGTCCCTAAATTAGAATAGGTGGGGACCTAATGTCCTCCCCCCGGCCCCCACCCCTGAACGTTGGGTAGGTCCCTAAATTAGAATAGGTGGGGACCTAATGTCCTCTCCCCTGGCCCCCACCCCTGAGTGGTGGGTGGGGGTTAGGGGGGAGGACATTAGGTCCCCCCCCTTATTAGTATTTAGGGCCCCCACCCACCGCTCAGGGGTGGGGGCCAGGGGGGAGGACATTAGGTCCCCCTCCTTATTCTGATTAAGGGCCCCCACCCGCCGCTCAGGGGTGGGGGCCGGGGGGAGGACAATAGGTCCCCCCCATTATTTTACTTTAGGGCCCCCACCCACCACTCAGGGGTAGGGGCCGGGGGGGAGGCAATAGGTCCCCTCTTTAGTTTAACCCCTTAAGGACACATGACATATGTGACATGTCATGATTCCCTTTCATTCCAGAAGTTTGGTCCTTAAGGGGTTAAAGGCCCCCATTCGGGGGCTCGGGAGGGGGGACTTTTTTAACAGTGAGCAGCCACAGGCTGCTCACTGTTTAATAGACATGCCCCTACTCACTGTATAGCGATTGGGGGCATAATTTACTAATACTAAGTAATCTTTATTAGGTCTTTCAGCCTTTTAGTAGATAGCTCCTTAATACCGTGGGATTTAGGGAGTTATCTACTTATTCATTCCTGTCATAACATTGACTGGCCAAGTAACTTACATTTTTATATGAATGCATTTTACTTGATTGTTGTAAATGTTGCAAATGCTTACAGCTGAATCCTGGCTATGTTTGAATACTTTTTATTTAAAATTGAATACAGTGTAACATTCTTTATTCTTCCATTGGGTAAGGATATTAGTTCTTAGGCAATACTGTGCCTTGGAACTTCAGCAACTTTGGAAATTCCACACTTCGAGACTTCGGAAATTCTGTAATTTTGGAACTTCTGTGTTCGGCAGTTCGACAATTCATCTATTCAGACATTTGGAAGTACCCAAATGTTCGAATTGCCCGAAATTCGTCTGAATTCACATTCGGACCGAAACTAATTGCACATGTCTAATGTATAATAGACCTGTTGGAGAGTTAACCTGCTTATGACAGAAAGCTTCTAATGCTAGTACTAAACATACTACTTGGTGGTCGGCTTCAAATGTCTCAGAACCTACTAATCCATTTGCTAATTACACTAATTTGAGAGAGGTATGGTTTGATCTATCTGCTATCTAATTGGAGAGCCGCAGCAAATTTGTATTGGATCAGTGGTAAGAAAGCATACTCAGAGTTACCACAAGATTGGGAGGGGGCATGTGTGTTAGGTATGTTCAAACCATCCTTCTTCTTTTTGCCAATTGAAACGGGAGTTTGGGAGTTAAGGTTTATGATGTCAATCATAAAAAGAAGCGAGCATCATTGAATGTAGGTAGTTGGGAAGATGATGAGTGGCCTCCTCAACGTATTATTAATTATTATGGACCTGCTACCTGGGCTAAAGATGGCACTTACGGTTACTGAACCCCCATATATATGCTCAACCGCATCATAAGATTACAGGCGGTGGTTGAAATCATAACCAATGAGACAGCTAAAGCACTTAATCTTTCGGCAAAGCAAAATACCCAGATGAGATCAGCCATTTACCAAAATAGGCTGGCTCTTGATTATTTGCTAGCTGTAGAAGGAGGTGTGTGTGGAAGGTTTAACCACAGTAATTGTTGTCTGCATATAGATGATGAGGGGCAGGCAGTGGTTGATCTCACCAGCCACATGGTTAAACTGGCACACGTACCCACTCAGACTTGAAAGGGTATAATCCAAATAGTTGGTTTGGGAGTTGGTATGAGCAGCTAGGTGAGATTAAAGCATTGGTAAGAGGAATGGTATTTATTATTTTACTATGCCTC